ACAGGTATGTGAGGGGGTGTCACATGGAGGTGGGCAGAGACCTGTTCTCCCCTGCAGAGGAAGGCAGGATGCGCTCCAATGGAGCAAAGCTCAGGGAACCCAGGTTCCATTTGGATGCCAGGAAGCACTTCCTGACAGTCGGGACCCCGAGGGTGAGGAATGGACCTCCATGGGAGGTGGTGGAGGCCCCATCGGTGTGGGTGTTCAAGGATAGGCTGGACACCCACATGGTGGGCATGTTGTGAGTGGAGCTGGCTGGAGAGGGGAGGTCAGACTAGATGGCCCAGGAGGCCCCTTCTGACTCGCTCTGTTTCTGTGAATCTGTGCACTGATCAGTTAGTGGGGGGTTTGCATCATTTCCCACTTGTGCTGAGGATGGCTTGCCTGGACAGGCTGAAGGCCAGCAGTTTCAAGCCAGACGCTTGCTGCAGGCCGGGGTTTTGCAGTTTCAGAGGCTCCTGTTTCACCAGAGCCTGCTGAGGTGCATCCTCTCAATTGTTCCCATTCCCATGTGCAGCCAAGTCATCCCCTGGCAGCCCTGTGAGTGCTTCCCCTTCCCCTCCGAAACCTCCTGTCCTTCTCCACCCTGATTGGCTCTTGTCAACCCAAGGCAGCGCCTTCCTTGCTGGAGGCCCCCCGTCTCCTCTCTGGGCTTCCCCCATTCTTCTGCCTTTCCTTTTCCTGGGCAAAGGGCTAGGCCAGGTGGATGATGGCCATGTCTAGGCCAGGGGGCAGCAACCCGTGGCCCTGGAGCCGCACGTGGCTCTTGAACCCCTCTGCTGCGGCTCCGTCGCTGTCCTTCTCCACCCTGATTGGCTCTTGTCAACCCAAGGCAGCGCCTTCCTTGCTGGAGGCCCCCCGTCTCCTCTCTGGGCTTCCCCCATTCTTCTGCCTTTCCTTTTCCTGGGCAAAGGGCTAGGCCAGGTGGATGATGGCCATGTCTAGGCCAGGGGGCAGCAACCCGTGGCCCTGGAGCCGCACGTGGCTCTTGAACCCCTCTGCTGCGGCTCCGTCGCTCAAAACACGTGCTGGCACAGCCAATGGTCTGCTCAAAGGAAGCTCCACTCAGGAACGCAGGGCTAGCTAGTTAAGTAAATCAGCTAGTTAAGTAAATTGCTACATTCCTTTGCTACACAAGCTTCCTGCAGGCTCTCATGTTACAGGAAAGGCTGCCCAAAGCATTCTCTTTGTCCCAATGTCATCTCCTTCCTCTGAATGTTAAAAGCTGCTGTGCTTGGGACCTGTCACAATTCACAGCACTTGACTGTTTACCTGCTAATCAGTCACACTAAACACACCTATATCTCCAGGACAGCTGATCTGCGGACCAGGGCCACCTACAAAGAAAGGTTTCTGAGGAAAACCAAAGATTTAATGATACGTGAGTAGATTCATTTGCTTTTACTGCTGACGAACTTATGGGGTTTGCTGTTTAATGCATGCAGCCCTTTAGCACTGACTTTGACTCTGCAGGAAGCTGTTCTCCTATTCAAACTATATGAAAGGAGTCCTACTAGTTTATAATGTAAGATTAAAAATAACAGTTTTTAGTGACTGAACAAGAGCTGCAGCTAAAAAAAGATCTATGCAGTGTTATCTTCATTTTAGATGTCAAAAGGGTTTTGCGGCTCCCGATGTTTTCTTCTGTGTGGGAATCGGGTCCAAATGCCTCTTTGAGTGTTAAAGTTTGCTGACCCCTGGTCTAGGCAGTCTTGAACAAAATGGATGCATTTTAATAACTCTTTTGGCTGGGTTTCAGAATGGAAACTACCTTAGTCACCTTATGACTATGTCCAGGGACAGAGGACTTGACCCTTCACCAGCTGCTCCTTTGGCCAAGCCACAGAAATTAGCAGGTGGTTCTCTCAAATCTGTTTATGGAGGAAGCAAAATAGAAGGGTGGATGGAGGAATGAAGGACATAGAACTAAAATAGGATAAAAAGGGGTAGGTGAGGGATCGTGGAGAGCAGCAACCCGCGATTCAGTATATAAGGTTCACCCCACTCCCACCCAAGACCCTCAGGTCGTGCTGCACGAGAAGGACAGGAAAAAAAGCAAACCAGCACTCTGCCCCTCTATCGGCTTCTCATAAGAGGGCAGGGGGACAGCCGGTCTCTTCTGCACTCCAGGCAGGAGGGTGCTCTCCTGCTTTGACCCTCTACCCTTTACTCCCTGCTCACCCCACACTCTGTCTGCTGATGGGTGATGACAGATTTCCAGTCCCCTGTGCCATCCCAGCTGCCTGCAACACGTCATTTGGCCCTGCCACCTCGGGCACTCTGAGTATCTCCCCTGCAGATGTGAGATCCCCGCTTAAGCCTTGACTGTCAGATGAGAACAACTCACTGGGCCACTGGACCTGCTGAGCACCAGAAGCTCCCTGTGCTCAGCGCCTTCCGGTTGGGTCAGGTCCCCATCCCACAGACGTCTTGGCCCCACCGTGAATGCGACCACCACAGTGGAGGGCAGGAAAGACTCTCAGGGAGGTGGGTGGTAAATCCCAGCTAGCAAGGGGGCTTTTTTGCTGAGATAACCCACTGAGAGAAATAGAGAGGCATTCCTGTGACACAGAGCCAGAGACGAGTGGGGGGCTGCAAAACGGCTCATAGCTCCTCTTGGCCTCAGTGAATGTGCCTCGCTCACAACCTCCCCCCCCCCACAACGCCCACGTGACGTGTGAGACATAGTGGGGCATCCTGCCCAATGCTTCCAGCACCAGGGGACAAGTGCTGCCCGACTCCTGGGGGCATCCAGAGCTGGGTGCAGGCCTGAGTGTTCCCGGAGAGGCCTCTTGTTGGCTGCCCAGGCAACCTTAACTATGGGGCAGCACAGGGATGAAATTCATTCCTTCAATTAGCTGATGGCCATTTGGGCTGTCTTTGAGAGGTCCCGCATCTCCAAACCACAACAATCCAGAGATTGGCCACCTCACTGAACTGTTGGGCAAACGACTGGACGTAGTGGCAATCCCATCGGTCCCTGCCAGGAGACCCTCCTAATTGGGCCCGGAGGATTCGATGACTTCTGAATTTGCAGGCCTTTCTTCCAGACATGCCACTGCACTGCTACAATCAGGAAACACCCCTTTTCTTTTTCACCCAACAATATCCTGGCAAACATTAGCCCGAGCCTGGTCCCCATCCTGAATGGTGGTGGGGGGGGGGGCAGAAGAATGCATGGCAAGGGGCAGAAAATGGCAACTTGCTTCGGGCCCCCACTGCAGAAGAGAAAGGAATGATGCAACACTGTTTTCCGCTGCTGATGTTCTCGGGTGTGCTTATTTCTCTGCCCTGGAATTATGGAACTGACAGAAGTTCTTCATCAATTCCACAGGGATTTCAGTCCAGGTCAACAACACAGAAATCCCAGAGAAAGCACACCTGGTGCAAATGGGAACTGGGCCCCTCCCCGTGAGGTCCAGTCACTCGGGATCTCGCATCCCTCCCGGCGATCCAGTCCCCTGCTGGGCTGGGCCGCCAAGTGCCTGCTTGCCTGTGTCTCTCTGGCCGGGGAGGCCAGGGACGCTGAGGATCCTGCTGGCCTCGCTGCTGCTTGGCTCCTGCCTCAGGCCGCCCAGAGGATGCTGAGGACCAGCTGTGCTGTGAGCCGGCTGTCTGCACCAACAGACTGTTACAGGCCGGGAGGCCCGATTGTTGGTGGGAATTTACTACGCGGGAGCTACTTCTGTAGTAAAGGAACTGACTTCCAGACATCTCCCGGGTTCAACCGTGCTGTTAATGATATGTAGGCTTCCCTCAAAGGGATCTGGGATGTATGTTTGCATGTCTGCTTTCACACCAAGGGGCCATGTCAAAGATGCTGCACTGGAGGAAAAGGTGGAGCCCCAGAGCCCCAGAGCCTCGCCAGGAGGGCCCCCGACCAAAAGGGAGGCCAGGCTTGGGGCTTCTCCACCGGCCTCGTCCCGAGGGGTGCTGGGCAAGCAGCAGAGCAAGAGGGAACCAGCGGCCTGTTCTCCTGTTGACAATCCCTTGCAGATGACGTGCCTCCCTGCCCCTCGCAGGCTCCCTCCGAGACAGGGCTGGGCAGGTGGGGCTCTGCTCGCAGGTTGTCACCCTTCTGGATCTGCTGAATCGCTTGAGCTCCAGGAGCGGCTCAGCAAGCCCTTCCGATTACCAGCTCCGACAAAAGAGCGCCCAAAGCATGCACCACCAAAGAGGAGAAAACGGGGAAGTCTGACTGGGTTTTTGTGTTTGTCCTCTGGGCTCAAGTCGACCTCCTTGGCCACAACAGTCCTCAGAGCTCAATCCGTTGGCTTCATGCCCTGGAGGTGCTGTCCTCAGAGCTCAATCCGTTGGCTTCATGCCCTGGAGGTGCTCAAAACTGAATGCTTTGGGCAATTCCTGCTCCAAGCGAGCAAGCCACCACCTCCCTGCCCATGCAGCAAGCTCACGGGTGGGGAACAGCGGCGTGGGCCAGATGGATGGCCTTGGCGGGCCGGGTCCATCCCGCAGGCCATAGTTTGAGGACCCGTGGTATAAAGTAACTTTCCTGCATATTAAACTGTAGACCGCAACATGGGGCAACTTACAACTTTCTGTAACTACTTGGAAATGGATCTGAGGAAGCTTACTAAAACAGACACAACCAAAGAGCTTTCCTCTTTCAGCCTCTCCTGCTATGGGTGTCAGAGGATCACCTTCCCTGTTTCCTAGAGCGTGTGAGGCTCATTCTCCCTTGGTCCTTTGGAAGAAACAAAACCATGGTGGTGCTAGTCCTCATGGCCTGACATCAAGAGCTGATTTAAGCAGCATCACCAGGGATGACTGAGGCAGGCGAGCCTCTCAAGGTCAGTATCTAACAGGTCTTCTCCAGGAGTGTAGAGGGGTCCAATGCTGGCCCCAGGAGGCTGTTCTGGACCAAACGAGCCCCAGAGCCACCCGCTGTTTTTCCCCCATGCCCACCAGCCACACAAATGTCTCATCCGCCACGGAAATGCTTCCTGGGTGAGCAAGTTCAAGATACAGGACTTGGTTCCAAGTTAACATTTTTAGAAACTTTATTGGGTGAGCCTTGGTCAAAATATCTAAACCCCAAACTCTAAGAGCAGTAAGGGAGAGGGTGCCCCATGCAGGAAAATGTTCCATCTGCAATCCATTTGAGACCAAAAAGCATTAAAGGCAGAAAGGCCAGGTGTGTTTTTCCTATAGACTTTCACAGTACCCCCAGAAGGGATGGCAATTTTTAGTTTTCTGCTGACCTGCAACACCATCCAAGGTGGTCTCAGGCACCCCCAGGCCTCCCGGTACAGGTGCTGGGGCAGAGGAGTGCCGCTTCGCTGCCCCAGGAGGCACGACTCCCTTCCCGCCCTGGCCTGCGTGTGGAACCCTCCCTTCTTCCAAGACTTATTTCCCTTTGTTCTTTGTGTGACCAAGAACATCTGGGTGGAAGCAGTAAGTGAAAAGAAAAAAACTTTGGGCCAGTCCAAAGCCAGAATATTTGACACAGAAACCAACACACACAGAACAGGGACCAGTGAACGGGGCCAAAGGGGCAGACATAGAACCCATAGACACTGGACATCAAATGAGCCTGGGAGTCCTAACCCACACAGCTGCACGTGCCCCAGAGAACATCCAGGGCCCCACATGCAGCCTCCGCAGCAGCATCCGCATGCAGAGCACCTGCCCCCACCATATGGGTGCAGGTTGGCTGCGTGCCATGCGCCCCTGGTTCCTGGGGCGGCCCTCATCCCCTGACCCAGGCCGGATCCCAGGCACATTCGCCTGCAAGCAAGCCCAGGAACACAGGAAGCCTCACTTGCAAGCAAAGGTGTGCAGAGCCTACACCAAGCAAGCCGAGCTGGAAGGACCCCTGAGAAGCTGAGCAGGGAAGGCTGCCTTTGCAACTGGCTCCCAGGAGCAGGTGGATCGAGGGCGGGTCAGTCTGCAAAGAGCAGGGCCACCCTGGAGCAATGGCTGCCTGCGTGCCACCATCTAGGCACGTGCTTGCCAAGAAAAGAGACCGGTTCCAGCCCCTTGGCCCAGCCTGCCCTGCCTTTCCTTCCCCAGAACCGTTTGGAGGTAGAAAATGACCTTATGTTTCCATATTGGCTCCCCATTTTTGTGAAGAAGTATGGAATTGGGCAACATTTTTGGAAAGAGCAATTGAATCGCAATTCATTGCTTCTTTCCCCCCATTTTCCCTCTGTTGCTCCAAAAATGTGTCCCCTCCCCCCACAGAGTTGTCTTCCCCGACCCGGCACTCTCCAGATACTCAGACTGCTACACCCAGCTGGCAGGGAGCTGCAGTGCAGCGCATCTGGGGGGTGCTGGGCAAGGGAAGACTGACAGAAGGCTGCCAGCCCTTAGGCCACCCAGCTTGTGCTCCCGCCCCCCCGCTGCAGGCTTCCTCTCTCACACAGCTGGCCACAGCAAGACGGACGTGGCGTCAGTTCTGCAGAATGGCAACTGCCAAGAATGATCGTGGGTGAGCGGCGTGGCTACGACCAAGGTCAGAGAGGAGGGACTTGCATGGCCAGGGAGGGGGCGGCCCACGGCTCACCCACTGGGCTCCACCACCAGCCCTTTGCTGGCCAGGAAGGCATCCTGCTTCGGGGCTCGGCCAAGGAATCTGAGCAGCATGTCGGAGGCATCCTGAGAGCCCCCCGGGCAGAGGATGCAGGTGCGATAGTCCATCCCCACCTGCAAAGGGTTAAGGCAGACACTCAGCATGGCACAGTGCTTGGAAGAACCAGGAGACCCACCTGCCTCCAGTGAGGTGGGACAGAAACAGAACAAGGGCCAGATCCCATCGCAGAGACGGGGCAGGGCCCAGAACACTTTCCAGCCCGGAACGAAACCAGACAGCAAAAAGGGAGGGTGCCCAGGTAGAAGAGTTTCTGCACATCAGCAAGCAGGAAAGGGAACTGCTGGACACCCTCCGCCCACCCTGCAGAAGGAAGGGCATGTGCTTGCTCTACCTTGGGGTTCATGATGCCCTCCTGCTTGAACCGGGTGTAGAACATGTCCATGGAGTAGACCTCACTCCAGAGGTAGCCGTAGTACTGGGCATCGTAACCTCCTGCTAAGTGGCCAAATGTGGCTGGCATGTTTGTACCTTTGAAGAGGAAACAGAAGAAAAAACCCCTAGCAGTCCCCTCTGGCGAGATCACTCATGCCTTCTGTGCGAGGCAGCCCTGAGAGACAGCCTTATTTCGGCTGCTAAAAAAATGCCAGGGCCTGATGGCTTTCAAACGTCCCACATCATTTTCGAATTGTCTGCACCACTTGGTTCCTGAACCCAGTTCAAGATGCTGGATTTGGCTTATAAAGCCTTAAATCTGGGACATCCCATCTCTTTCCACCTGAGGGTTTCTGGAGAAGCACTCAGAAGCGGGGTGCATTGGTGGCCAAGCCCAACAAGGTGGGACTAAAGGACTGGGGAACTTCTATAGCGCCACAGGAAGCTTGGCAGAACAGCAGCAGTAGAGAACTGGAGTCCAAGGCCAGTCTGAAGCGCCCTTGGTCTCCTGCTTGTTACCTGGAGTCGCTGGGACACCCAAGATCTCATCGCAAAGCCTGGCGTACTCTTCCGCAGCATCGACTTCCATCCGTGTGTGCAAGGCCTGGTCGACCTTGGCCAGGACAATCTGCCGCAAGTTGAACAGTCCTGCGCACAAGAGCAGAAAGCAGAGAAGTGGCTGAGCAGCCTGTGAAGGGGTCTCCGACTGCCGGGCTCTGGGAAGAGGGGCAGGGCAACGGCAACTTGGAAGAGCCATGGCGCTGCATGCGAAACAACCCAGGTTTGGTTTCTGGTGTCTCGAGGAATGGCCGGGGAAGAGTTGGTGAAGAAACCTGTGAGAACGACTCTCTGGCAGATCTCGAGAAACCAGGGCCCAAGCCAGTGCCAGGGCACTAACATCTTTAGCCTAAGCTTCAGAAGCACACACTGCAGGTGGACAAGTCCCAGTCCACTCTTTGCAACATTTACAGGTAAGGCCAGGAAGGCGCTCCAAACGAAACGATGGATATGTGCAGCTGCCCATCATGTTAGACCAGGAGAGGGCAACCCAGGGGCTGTTGGGACAAGCCCAGCCCACCTCTTGGGGGCTAATGGGAGCAAGCTGTGTGCTCCCCACCTGTGTTGGCCTGGCGCGATCGGATAAGCTTTCCCAGCAGCTCATCCGGGATGGGGCTGCCGGTCTTGTAGTGCTTGGACATGCGCAGCAGCGGTTCTTTCTCCCACACCCAGTTTTCCAGCATCTGCGAGGGGGCCTCCACAAAGTCCCGTTCCACGTGGGTCCCACTGAACATGGCAAAATCAGCCTGCCAGGAAAAGAGAAACAAGGGCTCCCACATTAATTGATCAAGGTTGCTTGGGCAGCACTGGCCAGGGAACTTCCCAAGCCGTTTAAAAGGCCTGTGAGAAGCACATCACATCCCCAAACGCCCCCCTGAAACCCAGCCGGCAGGGGACGGTCACACAAGCCACCTCAAGACCGGAGGCAATGGTGATGGGCCATCCCTGCCCTCCCCAGATCGATCCAGGCCCCCTGCTCGTCAGCCCCAGTCCATACCTGTGAGCAGAGCTGGTGCATAACGTGGCCAAACTCATGGAAGTAGGTCTCCACCTCATCGTGCTGCAGCAGGGACGGTGTGTCCTGTGTCGGCTTGGTGAAGTTGGCCACCATGGCAGCAACGGCGATCTGGCGGCTGCCGTTGGCAAGCAAGCAGCCCGGCTGCAGCCCAAAGCAGGCGGCATGGCCGTATTTCCCCTCCCTGGGAAGAGGAGGCACCGTCAGAGAGCCCCAGCTACACACAGGGCTACACCACGTTTGAGAAAAGCAGCAGTTCAGAAACAACAACTCCTCCTCACCAAACTTTGGGAATTAATCACAGGATAAGCTCTAAATGAATGAAAATGCTCACAAATTACAACAGCTTGACTTGTCAGTTTGCAATTTCAGAAAAAATCAGGAGCATCAGTGCTGGGACACACGATTTCAGACACCGCTGTATTTTTCACACTCCAGGGAATAAAGCAGACATGTTTATAGCAGGTTAGGGTAGAGAGTAGGTAGGTTTTGCTACTGCCTCAATAATACATTTGCTTGTTAGCACAGCACTACGAGGAAGTTCGCAACTGATAAAGAACATGAAAAAATGGTTTGGGTTTGAAAAAGATCAGGAATGGAATTGTACTGTGGGATTATCATCAAACAGAACTATTCTGTACCATTTGTCACTGCACATGGCATTGTTCAACACATTATGCGCTGTCTGACATGATCCCGGCATGGAGCACTTCCAAGCAAAAACCTCAAAGCTCCGATGCACACAGCACATTTCAGGCAGGCCACGGTGGTTTTGTACGTTCCGTGGTCTGCTGGATTGCCCACACCACCACGGCATCTCAGCGTGGCACACCTGGCTGTGAGAAACCGCTTGCAGAAATGAAGGCAGGCCTGCGGTTTCTGGGTGCCACGGTTGTACTGTCTGAACCGGAGGCCAGAGCCACAACCGGGAAAGAGCAGCCCACTCCATTCCTTCCAAATTGCTGACCAGAGAGCCCCACTGACAGCTGCCATTTGGTGCAAATGTTGGAGGCATCCTCGGTCCTCCTGCCCCGACAATCTTTGTGGTGCAGGACTGGGCAATCCACTGGTCAGAACTGCGCGAGGAGTTGTGGGAGTCCCCCAAGGGGCAGTGCTGGGGGCGGGGGGTGGGACTGCACTAGAGAACACTCCCTGGCATGCGCTTCTCACTTGCTGCAGTGCTGCTACTCGTGAGCCAGCCACAGGGGCGAGAATCTGCCCCCTCCAGGCTGGTCTTGAAGCCTTGGAGCTGCAAGAGGCATGGAAAGGCCAGTGCAGGCCTGATGGAAGAGGGAGGGCACCTGGCACGCAGCCTCAGCTCCAGCGTCCCTGAGGGTGGGGCTGGCTCTCTCAATTATCCTCTGCCCATCTTGAGAGCACCTTGGCACCCTTTAAGGTGATGCATAACATTCATTAGGAATGACGCGTACTTTCTGGGAGTGGACACACAGCGTGTCTATTTAAAGAAGATTGATACCCTTCAGTCCTGCCTTGTTTATTTTTATATCGCCTCACAGCCCAAAAGCTCTCGATTAAGCAGAGGTGCCACTTAGACATTTTGTATACTGTATAACCTGCTCCCATCCTTCGGCATGATCACTTTTGAGACCCCACATCCTTTCCGCATTGTGCATCAGACAGTTGCTTGATACTTGGCTGAATGCTAGACTGTTCATTTAACTGTGGTGAAGGCTCATCATTTCTCCTGGCTCGTTTTGGCTCTGTTAATTTGTTTCATCTAGGCCTCCACTTGAGGAACTGTGTCCTCTTGATCAGGACTCCAACCAGAAGTTTATTCATGGAAATTTTCTGGACACAAAGAATAGTTTGCTCCAGATTTTACAAGAGAAGCCAGGGTATCTATGTCATTCTCAACAGAACTGCTTTTAACAAGTTCAGTTTGTTGTTGTTAGTTGCAAAGTTGTGTCCCACCCATCGCGACCGAATGGACAGCATTCCTCCCGGCCTTCCTGTCCTGCCATCCCCTGGAGTCCAGCTAAGCTCACGCCCACTGCTTCAGTGACCCCATCCAGCCACCTCATCCTCTGCTGCCCCCTCCTTCTTTTGCCCTCAATCCTTCCCAGCATCAGGCTCTTCTCCAGGGAGTCCTTCCTTCTCACTAGGTGGCCAAAGTATTTGAGCTTCATCTTCAGGATCTGCTCTTCTCAAGAGCAGTCAGGGTTGATCTCCTCTAGGACTGACTGGTTTGATTGGCTTGCGGTCCAAGGGACTCGCAGGAGTCTCCTCCAGCACCACAATTCGAAGGCCTCAATTCTTCGGCGCTCAGCCTTCCTTATGGTCCAACTTTCACAGCCCAGAGAGAGTACCAAAAGTTCAGTTTAGCATGTTATTAATTAATGCATATTCAGATATTATTGTTTTGAACTGTTGCTCTCCTGAGTGGCATTTTAGCAAACAAAGTAATATATCAATTTTAATAATGACCAAACATTAGGTCATTCATGTCATCCAGGGCTTCATTGATTCCAGATCCCCACATGTATGTCTCAAAATGGGGGTGGAAGACCACCCATTCCTTGCATTCGCAGCCTTCCAATCCCACCTGCCCCCATTGGACTCACCGTGGATAAAGGTCCAGGTAGAATTTGCCCAGGGTCTCCCCTGAGGCAGCATCTTTGACTGTGTAGAGCTGCACGTCCTTATGCCACACCTGGGCATTCTCCTCCAGGTGAAAGGTGAGCCCCAAGAGCTCCTGGTAGATCTCGAGCAGGCCAGCTGTCACCACTTCCATGGGGAAATATTCCTTGAGCAGGTTCTGATCCACACTGTACTGCGTCTCCTCCACCTGGTTCATGTAATAGCGCATGTCCCAGGCGTTGATGAGCCCGTCAAAGGGCAGGCCCCGCTTCGCACACTCCTTCTGCTTGAGGTCCAGCATCAGCGCCCGCTCCTTCTGGCCCAGCGGCTGCAGCTTGACGGCCAGCTCGTCTGCATGAAAGACAGGCTGAGGCAGCCGAAGGGGGCAAGGACCCGCGGAAGAGAACCCCAAGCCGCCTCCCCTTGCTTGTGCCAGGCCCCTTTGCCTCCACTCCCAAGGGCCCTCCGGGCAGTGCCGGCTCCCAAGAACCCAACGCAGCACGTGCCAGGACGCCCTTCCTCCCCGCCCCATGGCGCCTGCTGAGAAACATCTGGCTGGGGCGGCCACCACTCCGGAAGCGCCGCAGGCTTCTCTCCTTGGGGCACCACAACGATGGACAGGACTAGCTGGCCCTCTCAGGCCTGATCCTGCCGGGAAGCAGAAGGTGCCAAGCTGCGTTACCCAGGAAAGTCACCACCGCCGCGCAGTTCTTGGCCATGTTCATCTCCAGCACCAAGTCAGCATGTGTGTCGAACCCAAGCAGGGCGGATTTCTGGGCCCGCAGGTGCGCAAGCTCCTTCAGGATCCGGCAGTTCTCCTGTGGCACGCAGAGCACAGGGTCGTTCACGGCTGCTAGATACGAAGCCCCAAAGCGAGGCGAGGCGAGGCGAGGGGCCCAGGTCCCTGCCCTTGCTCCCATGGCTCACCTCTTTGCACCTCGAGTTGAACAGCTCCTCCATCCGTCTCCGTGTCTCCGGCACGTGGCACTTCTTCATCAGTGGAAAGTAGTGAGGGTACTTCAAAGTGACCTGGAGCTTCCCGTCCTCTGCCTTCTCCAGGGAGCTTGTGAAGTCTTCGGGGAGCCCTCCTGCGGGGGAGGAGGGGGAGGGCCAGTTGCTGGGCAGCAAAGAAGCCCTTTGGTTGTGGCCCAAGAGGGAGCCCCAGCTCTGCGTGTCGGGGCACCAGGACCATTTGTCAGACTGCAGGTGCAGGTCTGCACCATTCCTGCCTGTTGGAGCAGACCAGGCCGAGATGCAAGAAACACTGGCTGGACTACACCTCCCATTCACACTCAGAACCACGAGGACCGGAATCTTAATTTCTTTTTGAAGGACAGAGCAACTGGCCTGAGGTCCCTTCTCCACCGCCTTACCCAGCTCTTCCTTGGTGAACAGCAGAAAGGTTACATCTTCATTCAAATTTTTGTTGAAGTCGATGCAAAGCACACTCAACTTTTTCTTGATGCCTTTGATTTTCTTTAAAAGACAAAGAAAGTGGGGGCTGAAGGAAGAGAGGAGGCCTTTCACCACTTCCAGGCATCCCGACTGCCGAATGCCTTCACAACAGACCAGTGCAGCAGCAGGATGCCCCGCCCCAGAGACACAGCTGTGCATCTGCCTGCGCAGCCAGCGGTACCACACAGCCCTGCCCCTCTGCCCAGGCTCCTCTCCTGCCCCCTCAACTCACAGACCTCCCCCCAGGGCTCAAAGGGGCCCCGACGTTATGGCCCACCTCTGCAGCTTGGAACAGGGACCGGCTGTCTGAATGGCCCTTGTGGCAGCCTTGTGCTGGATCATAACTTCCATTATCCCCAGCCCACACAGACTGCTCCCAGCCTCTTCAGCCAGCATGGCCAATGACTCCTTTAAGGATCTGACATGCCAACCAGCTTGAAGAATGCTCGTTCCACTTTTTGTGTTCTTCCAGCAGCCTCCCAAAGGAGCGGCACCCACCTCCTGCGTTTCCTCCGGGAGATGCAGGCCGCTCCTTCTGCCCAGCCGGATCAACCTCTCCAGGTACCTCTTTGCTTCTGGCTTCATAACGGTGTTTTCCAGCTTCTCCTGGAAGGAAACAGGAGAAATTAGCCATATCCAGAGCAGAAGTATGTCTTCCTTCTCAGCTGTGGTTCTCTAATATTTTAAGCTGAAGTAGCAACTGGGTTGAAAAACATTAACATTAAATGACTTGTTAAACTTGCCTTGCAGGTAGCAATTAAACCAGCAAAGCAGATGGAGTTTTTGCAAAGAGCCCTTGGCCAGCTTGTGCAAGGTCATCTTTGGAGCTTTCCTGCTTGGGGGGGTTATACTCAAAAGGCAAGTTACAACCAGAAAAGTGTTTCAAGGCCAATTAAAAGACAGAGAGAAGCAAACAAAACGATGCCCACCACAAAGGTCACTGTGTGACCATAGTAAGCCATGACAGGTTCACCTGTCTGATGTAGCAGCTCTCTCCCTGCAAAGACAGAAAAATCGTGCTACAAGAATTTACACCTGTCAAGACTGTGCTACCCTTTTCAGAGATCTGGAGAAGTTGAATCTGCAGTCTCAGAAAAAGAAGGACAATGTGGCATATAGAGCAGGTGCCCCATCCAGGTGGGCGAACTCATGGAAGAAACTCCAGGCTAAATGCCGAGCAGAGAAAGAACACCTGGTGCTTCACGCCTCTCAGTCCAGCACAGTCAGGCGGGGAAGGGCCATTGCCAGTGCAGCGGCAACACAGGAAACTCTCTGACATGGCAGGACGTGCTCGGAGTCTCAAGGCTTCTTGCACCGGAGGGCTGAGGCTCCCCATGTCCACCTCCAGCCCCAGCGGAGACTCTCTGGACTGGTGCCCAGCAGGACGAAGAGCCTGTGGGGCCTGCACTCTTGGTCAGCCGCACAGCCACGCAGCGTGTGCCAGGGACGCTGCCTCACACACTCGCCTGTACCTTTCCCGCTGCCAGGAGTTTTGCGGTGGCAATGGCAAGTAGAGCGAACTCGGGAGCCAACTGAGAGGAGCACAGCCTGACCCAAAGTTGACTGTGCTGCCCCACCGGCAGCGGCCTCCCACTGGAAACGCACCTGCAGCCAGATGATGCGCTGGTACACATCGTGCCGCATGCTCATCTCCACATCAAACTCCGAGAGCCTCTTGTCGGCCTCTGTGCTGGCCGAGCGAACCTCCTTGCGTGGGGAGACGTGCTGTGGGAAGTCCAGTATGTTCCGCTGCACTGGAAGGACAGGTGAGGCTGCCCTCCGTCATCACATGCCAGGAACACCCCTCCCCCAGAAGCCCATTCTTGATTGCAGGCAGTTAAGGAGTGACCCACAGCAGCTCAGAAGGGTGGGCCTTTTTGGCATCAGACCCACACTCAGCTCAGCCTGGAGACAGTTTGGCCTGTCAATCTGGAGCCCTCCAGACCTCCTGGATCACTACATCCATCAGGGATGATAGAAATTGCGCTCCAACACAACAGAGCATGCTAGTTTTTTGAAGGCTTGCATTTGTCCTCTCTTCCTTTTACAGTAGCTTTGTCTTGGGCTGGGCCTTCTTTCTTCTTCAGTGGTCAAGACAGCTTATAAGTAAGCTTCCTGTAAGCATTTTTACTATGCACATTTAATAAATAGTGCTATTATTAAGTACCACCCCACTTAAGGAGTAAAATCCCGAAGGAAATTTGCCTGGAACGGACAGTGTATATGTTTACATCCCTTGCTGAGAACTGTAGGACTTCCTTCTGTCTAAATGTGCACACGATTGCCCCCCAAGGAACTCAGCGCTAGGCTGCCTTGGTTGTTTTATCGATTTCTGTCCTGTTTGTTTTGCATTGTACTATCTATTTTTTAAAATATTTCTGTGGCATTTCATATTTTAACCATTCCATGGCTTTTAAGTTTTTCAACTGTTTGTAATCTACCCAGTGGACATGAGTTATTGGGTGGATTAGAAACTTGACAATTTTAAGAGGCCCTTTCTGTGTCAGTTTCTGCTTCTGAAGGGTGCTCCTTCACATCCACCCAGCCCTACAGTCACACGGTGCAAAGCACTTCCACCCAGCAGGTGCATCTCCACGCACCTGTGTACTCCACCTCCACAGCTGCCAGTGCCTTCAGGGTGTTTTCATAGGAGACCTCCTGCTGCTCCAGGGCCCCCACCAAGTCGTACACCTGCTTGGTCCTTGCAATGAGCTCATCAGTTGCACTTCTGATCTGCACAGCCGTCAGGTCCCACTGGAGGCGGTTGACTAGGTGGGGAGGCGGCTTGCTCTCCATGATGCTGTCTGAACAGGTAAGACCAGAAATGAGAACAACTGGCCGAGAGACTAGTTTACTCCCAAGAGACAGGAAAGGAGTTCTACCCACTGAAAACAAAGTCCTAGTCCTCATGGTTCTGAATAAAAGGCTCATTGAAACTGAAAGCTGCGTTTGGTCCACTGTTGTAAGCACAGATTGGAAGCATTACAGAAAGGAGTCTTTCCCAGCCCTACCCCAAGATCCATGACATGCGGGGGTGCCCACATTCTATTTATTTATTTTATTTATTTATCGATTATTTAAAATGGAAACCATCTGCAGGAATAACACATAATACAAGCAAACAAAGAATACTCCTTCTCCTTCTCCCTTAATAAGAACAGCAATTATAATGAAAGCAACTGCACAAAAGTGCAATAGACAAAGGAGCACAAGCCAAGACTGGGTGCAAAAACGGGCAGCTTCAAGAAGAGGGCCATCGACCCATCTGCTCTAGGGAAGCTCATTCCAGAAGTCTGGGAAGCACTATCAGAAAGGTCCCTCGTAAGACCAACGGAAAAGCCCTGCCGACTCAGGCCCCAAGAGAAAGCCCACAAGCAGCGCTCCCCAGTGTACTGCCTCTGAAACCGAAGGCGACACAGCCGTCGCTAGGCTCGTCCTCCATGAGCTCGACCCGCTTTTCAGACTGGGGGCCACCACGAGGCCTGGCCGTGGGGAGAAGCAGGGCGCTCGGGGGCACCCCCGTGCCTAGTGAGGCCTGCCTCGGCCCCTCTTCGCCCCCCCCCCCCCCGTAAGGCTGCCGCCCGCTCTGGCAAGGCAGAAAGTCGCGCAAGAGCCCACCGGGCACCGCTCGGCGGGGGAAGCCCCGCGACGCCCGCCCCGCGCCCCCGCGTTACCTGTGGGGGGAGCCATGCTCGAATCCGCGCCTTGCAGCTGCTCCTCACGTGGGCGCCGCGGAAGGCAGGCGCGAGCAATGGCGGGGCAGCGGGGAGGGCCCTGGGCGGGGAGGCGATGCTGGACGCCGCCTCCAAGCCCTGCAAAAAGTCCCCTGCCTTGCGTGCAGCTGGAGGCCCCGAGGTTCGGTCCCCGCCACCCCATTTTTGCAAAAAGAATTGGGACGCTCGGGAGAGATTCCACTGCCTCTCCGCGGAAGGAGCCGCTGCCCCACGGCCTGGCCAGCCCCTCAAAGGACAGCTGCGTGGATGTGCAAATCGATTCAGACCCACGAGGACTAGAATCTTAGGGCAGCGGGCAGTCCTCCTCGCTACATAGAAAACGTTGCACTTGCAGTCCCTGTACTGGCAATTTCCAGTTGAGAAAACTTCAGGAATGCAGTGCTCGGGATGGTCCAGGGAACCAAGAAGTTCCACCGGACAGGCTCATTCATGCTCTAAAAGGGAGCCGCGAAGAGGCTGGCACTACTCTGGTTTAATAAACGCTGCGAATGTTTGAAGAGCTGGGGAAGCTTGTCAAGGACAGGACATGTTGGAGGATGCTCGTTTGCACGGTCGTCTTCAGTCGGAGACGACAGCACAAAACAGCAAGAATTCTGTGCATGCTCAAGGGTACAGCCACATGTCTTTTTTTTTGGTCAAAATTTATACTCCGCCTACTCCTAGAGATTAGGACTGTAGGGCTTTCGAAGAGCACTTCTGGAAGGCTGACTCGGTTTCTCCTTTTCTTTTTTTTGTCCACATGCAAGGTTCCGCCCAATTTTCAGCCAACGGGAGCCGGAAGCATCGCCACAGTGAGACTCCTTGCCCCTAAAGGCAAAGGGCGGGGTGACCTCCCGACTTTCGCTCCGCCTTCCTCTCCCACAATGCGTTGCGCCTGCATAGCCCCGCCCCCTGCCCTTAGTCGCGGTTCTGCAGGGTACCCGATGCTGCCGGCCTGGACTGTACAGCGTTCCGCTGCACTCTGAGGGGTGTTTTGCACGGAGCAGGGCATTTCAGCCATGTGAACTGCGCACTACCGTGCTACGCCGGCTAGATAAATGACATGGGGAGGGCTGCTGGGGACAGGACAAGTTGCAAACGGGGCTCATAGTCTCTGCGCTCTCCTTTCCAAGCATCTCGTACCCCTGAGAGGGCGGCCCGTGTTCTCTGCGCATGCGCTTCCGAGAGTCCTCGTGCGCATGCCCTCTTGCTCGAGGCGACCGGGAGAACTGAAACTTGGTCCTTGATGACTGGTGGAACCCGCCGCGCAGGCGCAGTTGAGCTGAAGCCCGGGAAGCAAGGCAAGGGGGCCTCAGCTGCGCATGCGTGCTGGGGGGACCTTGCTGGCTGCTACGGTGGTGGGGGTCGACGGAGGGCTGGTGAGTGAGGGAAGGGCGGGGGGCGTGGTGGGGTCTGCGAGCGAGCCCCTTTCTCCCAGCGATGGGGAGAAGGAGAAGAGGCAGCAGGGGGTGTCACTCCATGGCTCCAAGGCACGCTGGAGGATTTGGGAGTCCTGGGCTTTACCTGTTGGGTTTCTGCCTCTCTTTCTCCCGCTCCTCGGAAAGACGGGCTCCTTTAAGGTATCCTGTTTCATGGGGGTGGTTGGAAAGCCAAGGCTGCACTGTTGAATTTTTGCTTCGCTGTTCCTCTTTCTTGAAGAACGGGGAGGAGTTTGCCCCTCCGCTCTCCGCCCCAAGATTTTAGGGATGTGGTGGTAGTTCGAGGGATGGGCCTGTTGGGTGCCTGCCTGCCTTTTCCCCTGGATCCTTCCTGGAAAAGGGAAAAGTGGCTGCCTTCACACTTATTTTATGTTACTCTACGTGTTTGCATATCTCCAGATTGACACCCGTTGCTTTTCTAGCTGCTGGACAATTGTGCATGTGGGAGCTCAGAACTGTACTTATAGGATTTCTGCCTGCCAAGTTTGTGTGCATTGTTTCTCTCCCATCTGGTTTCTTACTGTCTTTACCTTTTTTCCCCCTCCTTTCTCTGAAGAAAGGAAAAAGAGGCATACCCCTCCTTTCTTCCAGTGCTTCCTAATTTACCTTTATGTGGGGTCCTTATTTGTGGAGGAGGGGAGTTCTGTCCACCCCCTCACCCCACAGTTAGGAACCCAATAATGTAAGGGTATTTATTTATTTTATTTACTTATTGCATTTGTATCCTGCCCCTTAGCAAGAAGGCTGTCTGGGCAGCTCACAACGCAATCATAACAATAAAACAGATAAATTATTTATTTATTTATTTAAAACTTGTATGCCATCACCACATGCCTTGGTATCTCGGGATGGCTCACAATACATACAATTAAAAACAATAAAATGATCTTTATAAATAACAAATTTAATAAAAGATTACGTAAGGACAAAAAATGAAAACAAAAAGAGCAACTGTTCAACAATAAAATACTAGTTTTTAAAATGGCAATTAAATAAAAAGGTTTTAACCTGGCGCTTAAAAGAATATAGGCTTGGCACCAGGCAAACCTCCCTGGGGAGCGCATTCCATAACCTGGGTGCCACCGCAGAGAAGGCCCTGCTCTGGGTAGATGTTCTTTTTACCTCCTTTAACGAGGGCTCCTGGAGCAGAGCCTCTCCCGCAGATCTTAAGGGGCATGAGGGCATGTAAGAGAAGAGCCGCTCCTTCAGGTATCCTGGTCCCAAGTCATTCAGGGCTTTATAGGTTAAAACCAGCACCTTGAAGTGGGCCCAGACTTCAACTGGAAGCCAGTGGAGCTGGTAGAGGACCGGCGTCATGTGAGAATAACCACCGGTCCCCGTCAGCAGCGTGGCAGCTCTGTTCTGTACCAGCTGAAGTATCCGGACCGTTTTCAAGGGCAGCCCCACATAGAGCTCATTACAGTAATCCAACTGGGAGGATACCAGAGCATGAATCACCATTGCTAGGCAGTGCTTGTCCAGATAAGGACGCAGCTGGTGGATCAGCCGAAGCTGTAGGAAAGCACTCCTTGCCACTGCCGCCACCTGGGACTTCAGCGACAGCGCTGGGTCAAGGAGCACTCCCAGGCTGTGGACCCTGTCCTTTAGAGGGAGTGCAACCCCATCCAGGACTAGGTCAAAGTCACTTACCTGAAACCTCGATCCTGAAAATAGAAAGTTCAGATCAAAACAGATGACAATAATCACTGCATCCCTTCCTGATATAAATAAACTGAAGCTCAATCCAGACAAGACGGAGGTCCTGTTGGTTGGCGGATCGGGCTTCAGAGAGGGTGAATTGAACCTTGTCCTGAATGGGGTTGCACTCCCTCTTAGGGACAAGGTCCGCAGCCTGGGAGTGCTCCTTGACCCGGAGCTTTCACTGGAAGCTCAGGTGACAGCAGCGGCGAGGAGCACCTTCTTTCAGCTTCGGCTGATTCATCAGCTGCGCCCCTACCTGGAGTATGACTGCCTCGCGACAGTGACACATGCGCTGGTGACTTCCCGTCTTGACTTCTGTAACGCACTCTACGTGGGGCTACCCTTGAAGACGGTCCGGATACTTCAGTTGGTTCAGAATAGAGCTGCCAGGCTGCTGACGGGGACTGGGCATTATGTTCACATGACTCCAGTCCTCTGTCAGCTTCACTGGCTTCCCATTGAAGTCCAGGCCCAATTCAAGGTGTTGGTGATGACCTATAAAGCCCTAAACGGCTTGGGTCCTGGCTACCTGAAGGAGCGCTTACATCCATATATGCCTGCCCGCCCCCTGAGATCAGCGGGAGAGGCCCTTCTCCAGGAACTCTCCGTGAAGGAAATTAGGAGGATAGGTATTCGGAGGAGGGCTTTCTCTGCGGTGGCGCCTAAGTTATGGAATGCGCTCCCCAGAGAGGTCCACCTGGCGCCGTCGTTATTTGTTTTTCGGCGCCAGGCGAAGACCTTTTTATTTAAGCGGCATTTTAATTGTTAATATTATTGGATTTTATCTGGCCAGGGTGGCTTATTTTATATTGGTATTTTTGTATTTTTAACTTAATGTTTATATTTTTAAATTTAATGTTATAATTATTTTTAATTTATTGTAAGCCGCCCCGAGGCTTCGGCGAATGGGGTGGCATAAAAATGTTTTAATAAATAAATAAAATATTAGGAGGGTGGGTACCCGAAGGAGGCCTTCTCTGCGGTGGCGCCCCACCTATGGAATGCGCTCCCGAGAGGTCCGCCTGGCGCTGTCATTATTTGTTTTTCGGCACCAGGCTAAGACCTTTTTATTTAAAACTTATTTTAATTGCTAAATTATTGTATTAATTAGGATTTTAAAATTAGCCAAGAATGCACCAGGGGTTTTTAAATGTTTTTTTTCTTTTAAATTGTTATATTATTATTATTTATGTATTTTTTGTGAGCCGCTCCGAGGCTTTGTTGCGATGGGAGCAGCATAGAAAAGTTTTAAATAAATAAATAAATAAAACAAATAGAATAAAAATACTATATAAATGTAGCTAGACACGTTGTTGCCATAATAAGCATCCAGTCCAACAGGTGAGATATTTCAATTTTTGTGGAAATTTATGGAGTGGGGAGAGAAGGAGGCTTTCCAGTTTGACCTCAGCCTGCCCAGTCATCACAAGCATTCCTTTGATCCAGGAATGACAAAGTCTCAGTTACTACATTTCTGTGATATTTTCCAACACCCAGGAACCCCTCAGTCATCCAAAGCCCCATTCTCAAAAGAAAGGGTGGGCTGTAAATCATTTTCTGCCTGTGGTGGTGGTGTTAGCTTAGACTCGGGCTTCTCTGAATTGAGCAGCAGCCTCAAATATCAGGAACAAATGTCTTATCTTAGGTCCCCATCCAAGAAGATGGATATTTGGCATCTTCCTCACCTTGGGGAAGGGTCTGTTTGCCACCCCTGTGCCTCCCTTGACTCTTCCACAGAGGAGAAGCGCAATCTCCAATGCAGGAAGGGCCAATTGGTGTGTTTTTCTCTGACCTGTTTGGAGTAGGAGTAAACGGAACAGGTGTGGCAGAGAAGTGACTTTTCTTGCTTGAGGCTGGCAGTGTTGCTCTGAGTTTCCTCTTAACCTTGCTTTTCTTGGCACCTGTGACGTGATCACTCTGTTTTGGTTTCCCTCTCTGCTTCCTTTTAATACCGAAGAGAAGAAGCGGCAAGGGGTCTCCCGGAGCCACAGAATGGCGGACAAGAAGCGCTTAGCCTTTTCTATCATCCAGTTTCTTCAGGATCAGCTGCAAAATGGAGGCCTCTCCCCAGATGCCCAGGAGAGCCTGGAAGGTTGTTCCGGGGCTTGGAGGGGAGGGGTCTGTGTGGGTGTCAAAATGGGGTGGTTGCTCCCAGAGCTTGAGCGTGCATTTATGCTACTTTGTGCCGTCCAGATACAGAGTCCTGATTGGCTAAGGCTGCTTAGGTGGTCCTTTCTTAAAATTGCAGACAGACACACACCAATCGCTCATGCACCTGGATGGCTAAGCCCCCTCCCCACCAGCCCTTGCAGGGTGGAGTGCCGTGTGAGGGGAAGCTGGCAGCCGTGGGTTTTCCTGGGACTTTCCACGTTCACTGGCTTCCTTGGTCGTGTCTTCTGCAGTTGCCATCCAGTGCCTCGAGACAGCTTTTGGGGTGTCCTTGGAAGACAAAGGCCTGGGCATGTCGCATACTCTTCCAGAGATTTTCGAGGCTGCAGTTGCAAAGGTGGGTGCCTGCAGGAGCAGCCTGAGAATTTCTTCCACTCCCCCCCGCCATGATTTCCTCATGAGAGCAGACACTGTTAGTTGTAGCCCCCTGTTTTTATTAAAGAATGTAGTTGTTTAATAAATTGGAAAAAGTTCTGTAAAGTCTCCTTCGGAAGAATGCTCCTTTAAGGGAAAACAATCTGTCTGCAGGGAGGAGCTGTAGCTCTCTGTTTGGGCAGCTCTTCTCACACAGGAGACATGGCTCTCTTCCCTGGCATTTTTTGACAAAACTGGAAGAGGCTGCATCTCACCCGGGGAAAGCCGCTGCAACTGGTCAGCATAAAACATACCAAACTACTTAACCAGCAGTCCACTTTGGTGGAGGGCAGCTTCAGACATTTGTGTTGTTGGCTCTTTTTTCAGAACCACGAGGACTGGAATCAGTGGTTGAGCCTGGGGGACGAAACCGTGGCTTCTCCTAGTATGTCAGGGAAAGGCCATGGAGGGCTGTTGCTGCCAGTCAGTGTGAGGAAGACTGGGCTAGAGTAACCAAGGGGCTGTTTCCACATAAGGGAACTTCTTGCAGGACTGGCAGCAGAGAACCGGCAGGCAAAGCCTCTAATGGCAGGTTGGGTGAGTCTCCTGGGCTTCAGGTTTCATTCTGTTCCAGGCCTTGCCTCTCCAGGTAATGTGAAAACTGGCCTGGCCTAGGAGACGCTCACAGCTGCCTGCAGCAGCCCAGCTCATAGGGCCCATGATCACGTGCCACCTTGTATCTCTCCCCGCATCCCCTGTGCCACCAGGAGCCACTGCAGAGCACCCAGAGTACCCCCACCGCTGAGCCGGTCCTCCCCTCAGAAGAGGATGCTGCTGAGGCAGAGAGGCTGAAAGCTGAAGGTAAGGCCAGGCCTTTCTGAGCAGGCACTTCGCCTCGCCCACTGCCACTCCTTCCCTCTGGCTCTGCGACCCCCTGGCTGGAGGAAGTGGGGCGGCTGAGCTCGGAGGCCAGGCACCCGGGAAAGCAGGAGGTCTGCCCAGCCAGGAGTTAACCTGCCTGACTCCAGGGGTGGTGGACTGGAGGTATCACAGCTTCAGCGACATCAGTTTAATCAATTTCCTCCCTTTTATTGGCTAGGGTGTGGGCTTGGGAGGACTCTGGGGTATGGTGGAGGGCAGGAGAGCCTGGCGGAATGTTGTCCATGGGGTTGTGAAGGGTCGTGCATGACTTTGCGGCTAAACACTCACGCGTGTGTTACGTGCTACAAAGACATGGTGCAGTGGCAGCTGGGAGTTGCAGAACCAGCCTCCCCACCCTCCCAGAGGCACTAAGGGGGCTTGACTGTGCTTGCCTTCACCACCCCCCCCAGCCCTGACCTGCCCCCCTTACCTTCTGCCTCTCTTCTGCTAGGATGGATGCCTGTGCCTCAGTGATGTGTTAAATAAGCAGGAATAGGAACAAGTTGATGTGGATAAAGGGAAGGCAATGGCTAGACCACCAAAAAAATGTGGGGGGAAGAATCCGGAAGGAAGGACACAGTGGGCTGGGAGCCCTGGACGGGGTGAGAGGCGCTGAGGGTGAGGTTGCTGGAGGAAGGGTGCCAGCTTGCAGGCAAGAACCCTTCTTAGAGTCCTCTATGGCTCCAGGGCTGTGGGGCTTGGGTCTGAGAAGCTTCCCTGGAGGAGTAACCCAGGGATCCAGGATCCCGGAAGGGAGGGAGCCCTCGGCCCCCATGCCATTCTGAGCAGCTGACACCCTCTGTAACCTGTTCCCATTTCTCCTTGGTAGGAAATGAGCAGATGAAAGTGGAAAACTTTGAAAGTGCAGTTTTGTACTATGGAAAAGCCATCGAACTGAACCCGTCCAACGCGGTCTACTATTGCAACAGGCAAGTGCCGCATGCGGCTTCCTGTCTGTACCCCCCCTCTCGGTCTGCACACAGTCCCCACTCTGCAGAAGTGGAAATAATCTCCCCTCCGGTTTTAGCTTTTTCTGTGCCCATTTTGGGCACGTTAATCAGTTGGGATATTTGTGCCAGCCATGGATGCTGAAGGTTTGGCGTGCTTCAGGAAGAAGCACTTTGCATGACTCTGCCAGGCATTTCCTCAAATGACTTTGCTTGTTTTATGGCTTTAAAATGCCTGATGTTGCCTTTAAAAGAGAATTGGACACATTCGTGGAGGAGCATAAAACTCAGTGGCTACTAGTCCTGGTGGCTGTGTGCTCCCTCCAGCATCAGAGGAAATGTGACTACATGACCCAATTGAGATGGTGCTGAGTTTTATGTTCTGGAGCAATTAAAGCCTAAAAAATGAGCTTGTGGGCTTCCCGTGGGCCCTCTGGCTGGCTTCGGGCGAGAGGAGTGCCGGACTGGGTGGGTGCAGCGTCTGATCCTGCTTCAGGGCCTTTCTTATGTTCTTGCCTCCGCATCTTTGTTCCTTCCGCTCCTGCGTGTGAGTTGACGCTGGGTGAACTTGCGCCGAGGGTTTTCGTGTTTCTCTCCAGGGCTGCAGCTTACAGCAAACTCGGAAACTATGCCGGAGCAGTGAGAGACTGCGAAAGAGCCATCCACATCGACCCCAAATACAGCAAAGCTTACGGCAGGATGGGGTGAGGACCGGCCCTTTTATTGCCCTCTGCTGTAGGTCTGAACCCCCTGTGCTGGTGGGGGTGGTGCAGAGAGGTGCCCCCCGGGCAGTGCTGGTGCCATCAGTGCCTGCTTTCCCATGGGCGCTCATCAGGATGGCTCTGCTGGTGGCAGGATACGGACTGGAGCCACTCCAGCGGCTCCAGAGCTACGGCAGCCTTGCAGATGTTCGGCGGGGAGGTCCACTAGTTGGCACTCAGGCTGCCCAGTCTCCGCCAAAGGCAAGACCCAGCTGCCCTTTCTGCCCTTGCTCCATGTGGCAGCCAAGCCGCAAGCTGACCCCTCGCCTGTGCAGGCACCCTGGCTGTTGAAACATACAGAGGGTCTGGAGAGGACTTCTTCCTTGTGGCTTGGGGTCTCTGCCCTTCGTGGGTCGCTTGTCAGTGTTCCAGGGTCCTTCCCAGATAAGTTTCCTCCACCACACCAAAGATGGAGCATTGTGCCTGCATGTCCTCCTAGCTGGATCTTAAACCAACAGAAGGAGGCAACCTTTTAAAATGACTGTTCCATGGGGGTGTAAGCAAGCAGGCCACCTAATTTACTGGTTGCTTCTCTTCCTGCTCCCTCGCTGCAGCTTAGCTCTGTCCAGCCTAAATAAATTCTCAGACGCCGTCATCTACTACAGAAAAGCCCTGGAGCTTGATCCAGACAATGAGACCTACAAGTCAAACCTGAAAGTCACTGAGCAGAAAATGAAGGAGGCACCAAGCCCGGTAGGTTCTCGAACCTGCTGGGAGAGTGGGCAAGAAGCTGGGAGATGCTTCCTGAATCTGGGATGGGAATCCACTGTCCTCGGCCTGTTTTCCTACAGAGATGGGGTGCCAGAAAAGGCTGATGAGAGGCACAGAGAGAAGTGGGGGATAGAGGGGATTTGGTGGAACATAGAGAGGGCAAGAGAGGATGGGAAGAGAAAAAGAGGTGGAGGGACGTAACTCTGTAAGTTGAACTGTCATCTGTTCAGTGGGTGTTTGTAGGCAAACATTCCCTTCCCCTCTCTCCACCCTAAATGCATCAGGGGTGTGTGAGCTGCACTTGACTTCTCCTTCCCTGCTGTCCTGTGTCCTTGCAGACAGGAGGCGCTGGAGGGTTTGACTTAGCCGGCCTGCTCAACAACCCCAGCTTCATGAGCATGGTGAGTGGAGGTTGGCACGTGGGCTGGACTGAGCTCTGCTTTTGCCGTTTGAAGGGAGAACATAGAAACAGAAACAGAGCGAGCCAGAAGGGGTCTCCCAGGCCATCTAGTCTGACCCCTGGCACCAGCCGGCTCTGCTCACGACATGCCCACCATGGGCATGTCCAGCCTGTCTTTGAACACACTAACCGATGGGGCCTCAACCACCTCTCGTGGAAGCCCATTCCACACCCTCGGGGTCCTGACTGTCAGGAAGTGCTTCCTGGCATCCAAATGGAACCTGGGTTCCCTGAGCTTGGCTCTGTTGAAGCGCATCCTGCCTTCCTCTGCAGGGCAGAACAGGTCTCTGCCCACCTCCGTGTGACACCCCCTCACATACCTGCATGTCGCCAACAGATCCCCCCTGAGTCTCCTCTCCTCCAGGCTGAAGAGACCCAGTTCCCTCAGTCTCGCCTCATACGGCTTCCCCTGCAAACCGGCCACCAACCTTGTGGCCCTGCGCTGCACTGACTCCAACCTTTCTGTAACGAGGGGCCCAAAACTGAGCACAACACTTCAGTTACGGGTGCACCAGAGTTGTGTAGAGTGGTAGTAATACCCCTCTTGATCTAGAAGCCACACTTCTGGCTATGCAACCAAGGGTGGTGTTCGCCCTCTTGACCACCGCATCACACTGCTGACTCATGTTCAGCCTGCAGTCAACCCACACCCCGAGGTCCCTTTCACAAGTGCTGCTCTCCAGCCACTTGTCACCTAACCTATTCCTATGTCCCAAGTGCAAGACCTTGCACTTATCCACACTGAACGCCATCCTGTTGTCTCCTGCCCACTTCCATAGTCTGCCCAGATCCTTTTGGATCTGGAGTACCTGCTCCTCAGTCATGGCCACTGCTCCAGTTTTAGTGTCATCTGCGAATTTGCTCAACAGATTGTTCACCCCTTCTTCCATGTCGTTAATGAAAAGAGTAAACAGGATCGGCCCCAGGACAGAGCCCTGGGGGACCCCGCTTGTCCCTGGCCGCCATCCCGATGATTCCCCACTAATGGTTACCTTCTGCTTTCGGTCAGTCAACCATGCCCTAATCCATCGGGCAGTGCTTTGGTGTATCCCAAAACTGCTCAGTTTCTCCACCAGGATATCATGGGGCACTGTATCAAAGGCCTTGCTGAAATCCAGGTAAACCACATCCACTGCATCCCCTCCATCCAGCCACCTCGAAACCTTGTCATAGAATTCCACAAGGTTTGTCTGGCAGGACCTGTTTTTGCGGAAGCCGTGTTGTGTGGCTGCCGGCCTCCCTTCCCTATCTAGAATCACTAGATCTCTATTATGAGCCTTTCCATTGCTTTTCCTACAATGGACGTAAGGCTAACCGGTCTATAATTCCCCATGTCCTTTCTACTACCCTTTTTGAAAATTGGGACCACTGACGCCACCCTCCAGTCCTCTGGAACTTCACCCGTTCTCCACAAGGCCTCAAAAATGGAGCCAGCGGGCATGAGAGAACCCCTGCCAACTCTCTAAGTACTCTCAGGTGTAAACTGTCAGGGCCTGGCGCCTTTGTAATGTCCAGTGCCCTGAGGAGCCCCTTGACTCCCGGGGGGGTGACTCTAATCTGTGCCCCTAAGTCCCCAGCCTCATCTAATCTCCTATGCGGATCTCCCCCGTCCTGCTTTGGGGAGAAGACAGAGGCAAAATAGTCATTTAGCATCTGTGCCTGTTCCCTCATACTAGTCACTGGATCTCCTTCCTCCTTTTTTAGTGGTCCCACCACTTGTCTCCCCTTCCTCTTCCTATTTACCTGCTGAAAGAAGCCCTTTTTATTGCTCTTGATATTCTTGGCAAGTCTCAGCTCGTAATCAGCCTTAGCCTCGTGAAGAATCCTTCTGCAACGGGCCTCCTGCTCCTGGCATACCCTTCTGTCTATTTCCCCCAGTGCCCATTTCCTACGGAGGTTCCTCTTTTGTCTAATCCCTCTAACCACCTCCTTTTGCATCCATGGCGGCACTCTCCTCTGCCTCCCCACCTTACTGACTAGAGGTATTGTCAAGGCTTGCGCCTCCAAAACCTCCCTTTTGAGTGCCATCTACCCCTCCTCAACTCCCTTGCCTTCCAGTAACCTATCCCGGGAGTTTTTCCCCAGTCTGGCCTTCAGTTGGCTAAAGTTGGCCCTCTTGAAGTCCCAGCTTCTTGTGCTCGACCTGCTGCACGTCCGCAGTCCCCTGATCTCAAAGCAAAGGATGGAGTGATCACTCGCATCCAGAGCTCCCCTAATCTGTACTTCATCTATCAGCTCCTCCCTGTTGTTCAAGACCAAGTCAAGGATGTCCCCCCCCCCTTCACCTCTCAGACCCTCTGTGTGAAAAACGCTCCCTCAATAGCTTCTAGGAAGCAACATGACCTGGCTGTCACCGCCGAGTGAGTCTCCCAAGTAATATCCAGGAGATTGAAATCTCCCATAAAGACTGTGTCTCTCCCCCGAGATATCCTTAGAATCTGGCCTGTCAGGACATCATCCAAGGTCTCAAGGTGACCTGGAGGGCGATAACATACCCCCACTGTCGGGTCTCTTTCCCTGTCAAAACCTCTTAGTTTCACCCAGACTGCCTCTGCCGAATCCCCACCTGTGCTGCATTCTGTCCCACTGCATCCGATCCCTTCCCTGACGTATCAAGCCACCCCCCACCCCTCTTTCCCTTCCTGTCCTTCCTAAAAAGGTGATACCCCTCTATGTTCACACTTAGAAGGAGAAACATGCAAGGCTGTTTTTGCTCAGTGGAAGGTTGGTGGGGAGTGTTTGCTGCCAAAGGCCAGTCATGCACTTTGAGGAGGTCACCGGGAAGGTCCTTGTGCCTGTCCTCAGTAGCAGCTTAAGAAAGGCTGGGTCCCAGGCAAGGGCCTGCATCCAAGGGCAGTCGGGACTCCGCTGGATAAACAGTTCAGCAGAGGAGAAAAGAATGGCGCCTGATGCTCTCCTCCATTCCACGGGGGTCTTTTCAGACGGCCCAATGGGAACATGCTGGAATGCCTTGCTAGTGCTTCGGGGGACAAAGTGAGAGTGTGTTATTCCCACAGCACCATCCCTGTATGCCTGCCAGCGCCGTCCCCCAAGCTGTATCGCCTGGGATTCTGAGCCATCGTGGGGGTGGGAGGGTTGCTTTTGCCTGTGGAACATTTTCTATTTTGATTTTGTTTCTGCAGAAAATGCTCCATCTCTAAAAAAAATTGCATCATCTCATACTGTTAAACAGTATGGAAACAATTACACCATTTATTTAATGTGCTTATGTCCCACTCTTCAGTTGCTTAGATTCCCAGAGCAGTTTCTGAATATATAAACACCGGACAGCACAGGGGTAAAGCGAAAAACAACCTAGCACAAAAGGGATAAAATAGGATAGGGAGGTAAAAAGAAAATAAGTAAGTTCAGGTACCAGTTCTCAATGTTAGCTCTTACATTTACATGTCTCAGTTCCTGTGACACATATAGATGAAACACAATTCCACAAGAGCTTCATATGAACTTGTCTTGATCCATACAAAGTTTAACTCTTTATTTCTGCTAAACATATTTATTTTGGACATGAACCTTTGAATATCTGGACAGAAGTCTCACAGCTTCCAGTATTCTCCTGCCTGTGCAGGGAGTTAGATGCTTTCTGTCCAAATACTCATGATGGTACCCTAGGGGGTGAATCATTGTAGCTTTTAAAAATATAAAAATATGAACTGTCTTCTTTTTTCTTTAATTCAAATAGGCTTCTAACCTGATGAACAACCCACAAGTACAACAGCTGTAAGTACGGGAACCTCTCGGCTTTGGTTTTCTATGTGAGGCACTGTGGCAGGTTGGCCTGAGATCCATGGAGCTGCCAGGTCCTGACTTCTAACTGGTCATGCTGCATAGGAGTGCACTATAACATGTTCCCTGGGTTGGAAAGCATCTGGTAATAAGTCTCACTAGTTCAAATGGCTGATAGATATCCACGTATTTATTAAAAATGGCCACAGGGAAGCACCATGTTCAAAGAAGCAGGTAAGCTTCTGACAGCTTTGGTTGATTGCCACACTTCCAAAATCCGTTGATGTATTTTTCTGTGGTTTTCTCCCCACTACCCCTCCACCGGCCTCTGGCCTCTGCCACAGGGCTTGCTTCACAGGAAGGTACCTTGGTGGCATGTGAGGGGAGCAGGGAAGTGCTTCCCCACCGTACCCATGCCCCCTCACCCTTCAGAGGCAAGGCCCGTGGCCCCAGCAGGCTCGGATGAACAGTGCCTTCTGCGCCTTTGGGGCCAGTGGCCCCAAGCAAGGGAGGAGGGGTCCCCGTTTTATCCCTCTGCATGACAAGGGCTTCTCTTCCTCTGCCCCGTAGGATGTCAGGAATGATCTCAGGCAGCCACAGTCCGGTGGCGGCGCCAGGAGCCGGCTCGTCCCCCAGCGACCTCGCCAGCCTTATCCAAGCGTGAGTAGAGCACCTGCGTTTTCTCTCTTGCACCTGCTTCTCGCGTGCAGGAAGGACAGCAGGACACATCTGGGTCACCATAAATGTGGCAAGAAGCGAAAGGGACAAGATCACTGGAGCCGGCTCCTGACCACCCAGTCAAGGAGAAGATGAGGATCAACCTTTTGTTGAGCATTAATTGCCCAAATTTCTAGCAGGTGTGATGTGATAGTAATGGGGGACTTCAACTACCTGGTATCTGTTGGGAGACCAACTCTGCTGCGAGTGGCCCCTCTAAGAAATTCTTCCCACGCTTGGCAGATAGATTCCCTCGGCAGAAAATAGAGAAAGGATCAAAAGGATTGGCTGTCCTTTGCTTCGTACTGACTAATAGGAATGACTTAGTGGGTAAAGTGTAGGTCTGGGGGAAAGTGGCCACAACATATTTGAGTTCTTGATTTTAAGGGAAGCAGAAACAGAGTGTGGTCATACACATACTCTGGATTTTGGGAAAGCTGATTTTAATGATCTCAGTACAAATGATAAGTAAAGTCCTGTGGTACGTGACCCTAAAGAAAAAGGGAACCCAAGATGAGTGGGAGTTATTTAAAAAGGAAATTTTACAATCACAATTACAAACAGTTCCAACAAAAACAAAAGATAGCAGACAACAGGAGAAACCAATGGGACGCTATTTAAGAAAAACTCGAGATGGGCTAAAATCAGAAAAGGACATGGAGCTGAAGGACAAAAGAAAAGTACAGGCAGGTGGATGGAAGTGCACAGATATCACCAGGAAGGCTAAAGCTGAGAATGGGCTGAAGCTAGCAAGGGATGCCAGAAACAACAAAAGGGCTTTTTCAGGCATGTTCACAGTAAAGGACAGAGAAAAGAAATGGGGCCTATGACCCTCCTGGCAGAAATCAAGTAGAAGCTGAAGGGTCAGGATTGAAACTTGAGGTTATTGAACAGATGGTCAAGAAACACCTAATTTCCTTGAATGAGTTCAAATATGCAGGGCCTGACAAGCTGCATACCAGAGTGATAAAGGAAAGGCAGAAGAACTCTCACATTTCCTCACAGAGCAATAATGGCAGTGGGACCAGCTGCCCGGAGAGGTGGTGGTCGCTCCCACACTGGAGTCACTCATAAGGAAACTGGGCAGCCATTTGAGTGAAATGCTGCAGATTGGTGATCTGCACCAGGAGGGGGTTGAACCTGATCGCCTTCTTGTCTCCTACCAACTCTACTATTCCATGAGTCTAAAAAACTTCAAAACAATATTTATTATTTATGTATATTTATAGGCCGCCTATAATTGCTGAGGCCTTCCTGATAGGTAGAAGTGTTGGGCTGAAATCAACAGAATGAAATTCAAAAGGAACAAGTGCTAAGCTCTACACTTAGGAAAAGGGAACCAAAGACACATTTATAAGATGGGGATACTTGGCTCAACTGTACTGCAAATAAGAAGGATCTTGGAATTGTTGTAAATCACAAGTTGAATATGAGTCATCAATGTGATGCGGCTGGGAAAAAGGCTTATGTTATACTGGGTTACATTAATAGAATTATTGCCTCCAGATCACATGAGGTACCAGTTCCCTTCTATTTGGCGCTGGTCTGGCCTCATCTTGAGTGCTGTTTCCCGCTCTGGGTATCACTCCTCAAGAAAGTGGAGCTTGAAAAAATTCAGAGGAGGGCTACCAAGACGATCAGGGGCCTGGAAACAAATGCTGTGAGGGGAGACTGAAAGAACAGGGCATGTGTAGCCTGGAAAGACTGAAGGGAGAGATGGTAAGCTTCCAAGTATTTGGAAAGTACTGCCACACAGAGCGGGGCTGGGATCTCTTCTCAGTCTTCCCAGAAGAACTTTCTGATGGCTGGAGCGGTGCAGCAGTGGAGCCAAAGACTTGGGAGCCTGTGGCTCAACAGGCAGTCGGACAGCGCTCTTTCAGGGATGCTTTAACTGGAGGCCTAGACTGAGCAGGGGGCTGGACTACATGGCCTTGTAGCCCCCTTCCAACTCTATTTTTCTGTCATTTGAATTTTTAAAATAGGATTATTGGTGAAATGGGTTAAGTGACAGCCCGAATAAGGCAGAGGGTCTGATCAACCAGCATTTTGCATGTAGCTTCTACAAATTCTATAGATTCTTAGGAAAGGGCTAATGAAATTGTGTGAGTGTCTGGAAAAGTATATCAGGTTTTGTTTGTAGGAATTCTGTATTTTGGATCATTAAACAGCGCTCACTGAAACTAAAAGACATTGTCATGTTAAAGCAGTTCTCTGGGCCATGTGTGATGCAGTCTTTTTATCGCAATGTGGCAAAACTGAGGGGTACTTAGATGAGCGCAAACCCTTCTTTTTAACCACAGAAATGTGAAACTGCAAGGAGAGGCCTTCAGCCATTGAATGGTAAAGTAACATAAGATTCAGTAATCGCTTTTCTGCCTGGTTTTACGTTTTTTTGCTGCAGAGGACAACAGTTTGCTCAGCAAATGCAACAGCAGAATCCGGAGCTTATAGAACAGTTGCGCAGCCAAATCAGAAGTCGAACCCCCAGTAACAGCCACGAAGAGCAGCAGGAATGAGAGAAGGGGCAGGTGAGTTTGCCGTCGGCTGCTCTCTCACAGGGGTGCAACACACGTGGATGCACCCGACACCCCCTGCCTCATTTGCATCCTCTTCACGTCAAGCAGTCATCAGTAGGCAGTGAATCTAAGAACGTTAACTTGGTTGGTTCATCAGGTGCGACACAAAATGTGACGCAGTCGCCGTGTGGCTGCTGCTTCCCTTCCACATTGGCTAGAGAGACCTCCCTGCCCCACACCACCGGCCCCCGGGGGCAGGTGCCGCTCGGACTGCAGCCAGAGCAGGGCGTAGCTGGGCCGGGGAATCACCGTCTGGCTGGGGGAAATGCTCCGCAGAAGTATACAAAATCCTTGGGGAAAAAAGGCTGATGGGGACCTCTGCCCCCAGTTGCCTGTGGAAGGCAGCACAGGCTTGGCAGCCAAAGCATTACGCGACTTTGGGGTGGGTGGGAGGCGGATTAATGGCTGAGGGGAGGGAAGCTTGTCCTGCAAACACCCATCTGGGCATGTATTTGCTCCCTTCCAGAGCTGCTCTTCGTTGGGGAGAAGTCCTTTGCTACAGGGAAAGGAAGAGATGACGAAGGAGCCGGGTGGCCCATCTTTGTCTTACTTTCTCTCCAGCCGGAAAACTCCAAGAGGGACAGTGGGTGGGGGGAGCCAAACCTGACCCGACCTGCATGTTTTAGACAATTTCTTGTAGTCTGCTCTTGCTCCTCCCTCCCAACTGTGCCGCAGAAGAGCCAGCAAGTGTCTCCAGAAAAGACAGCAAGTTCTTGTCCACAGATCGGTTTCATTCTCCTGCTGTTCTTCCCCTGACTCCTCAGAATCAGGCAAACTTGCAGTGATCTTGGAAGACTCCCTCTCCTTAGAGAAGCTCCGCTGCTTGGACAAATACGCCATCCAGTCACGAGAGGGCTGGGAGTGCTGGCAATCTTCTTTTTTTCTTCATTTTCTTGTTCTTACCAAATCCAGCTCCTTCCTAGTTTGGAAGGATTTCTGTTTTGGTTTTCCCTTTACTGACTCCTTCTGGCATCCTGCAGACCAGGAAATGGGGTCAGCAGCACCTGGGCGGTTTGGTCTGCTTTGGGGTGCAGCTTGCTGGCCTGTAACACGAAACAGTAAATGGGAGAATATAGCCAGAGGAGAATTTTAGTGATCCCATATGTGCTGGGGAAGAGGGCAGCTGAGAGCAGGAGGACAAAGCCCATTTTCTAAAATGTTTGCAAGGCGGTGCTCTCTTGTTTTTAAATGGAACTCGCTAAAGATGAGGGGAAGCATGCAGGAAATACTTGCACTGGCTGGGCGAGGTTTGGAGGTTCTGAGGTGCTTCAAGTTCTAGCTGGGTGTGGGTGGGAGACGATTCTTCACACAGGTAACCCCAGCAGGGCCAGCTGCCCCCCCCCCCCAGTGGAAGCAACAGGCGTCTATTGTGAGATGCCTGCCTCTGCACCCAGGGCCTGCTCTTCCCCCGTGGGAATGGGCTGAAGTGCTGCTTTGCTGGCCCAGGAATGTTGGGCAGAGGCCAGGAAAGCAGCCCTTGGAAGTCGTCTTGTGGCTGTGGGGGCTGCAAGGGGCAGCCCTCAAAGAGCCGGGTCTCTGCCAGGGGCCCCCTGCTTGGTACCCCCCACCCTGCCCTGCCCCGCCCCCAGCCCCAGTCACACAAACCCTTCCTCTCCTCCAGTGAGTCGGCTCAAGCGGAACGCCTTGGTCAGGCTTGGCAGGGAGGCTGCCGAAGCTGGAAGAGACTCTCCAGACTCTCTTCCCACCCTCCCTTGCTGCCTCTTCTTTCCAGGGACAGACAGCTGAGCTTGCGCCAATCCACACCTTCCTGCAGTGGGGGTGCTTTGCATCTCCAGTCCAGAGCTGAGCCGTAGGTGCCAGGAAGACCTGCATCTCCATCACAGATTGCCTGGGGTGCGGGGTTCTGTGGCAGTGCAGGTGCAGCCTCCCTCCTTGCCACCAGAACACCAGTGTGTGTGCACTCACACGTTCAACAGTGGTAGACCCCACTCCCACCCCAATCAGGGAAAAGCCATACGAGATGCATTCAAGGGCCTTCATAAAATAACGGGCGGGAAGGCGATTCAGGAGTGGGGGAACAATGCAGACCTTTTGAAGGCGCTCTGCTGCTCTGGTGGAGCTAAGAGTGTGTGGGGGGCTGCTGCTCTTACGTGCCAGGACAGCAGAGGAGGCTTACAACAGGAGGTGTGCGTTCTGTTTCCAGAAATCGGCACAGTTTGCTCTTCGTTTCCTAAATGTAGAGAATAAACTTCTTTTGACACTGCCTTTTGGTGTCGGCCTGTTGCTTTGCTTGCATGCCTGCAGGACAGCACCCCAGTCTCCGCTGCAGGCTTGCCTCTGGGCTGGGGCGGGGGGATTGGCCTGGTGGCCCTGACGTGAGTCGTGCGCACATATTCCGGCTCCCCGTTTGCAGAAGAGACGCAAGGGGAGGAGGGTGCTTGAGAGGATGCCTGGGTCCCTGCTGCATGCACATCCAAAGGATGGGTCACAACCAGGAGGACCGAATGGCACCCCTAATGTTTATTAGCCCTGTGGCTAAGAAAAGGACCCCACTGGGGCAAGGACTGCTCACGGCAGAAAGAAACGAGATGTGTCTGTCTGCAAGTCCCATTTCATCTCACTTTTTTTTGGGGGGGAGGGGGAGTGTGAGAAACCCTGCCTGCCTTTAGCATAAAGTCTAGTAATGGGTGGTCCTATTGTTACCTGCTGGCAGTGGCAAATTATTTACACAATGGCAGGGCCCAGTGATATCAGGAAAGTAGGGCCTGCAGATTATGAGGTCCAGCTGATAAGAAACAGTCTGCTCAATTTTATTGCATAAACCTTCTTAAGGAATGGAGAGAAAGAGGCACACCTTGCTGAATGTGGCCCAGAGCGATGGGATCTTGGAGTAGAAGCAAATTGGGACCCTAGCAGCCTAGCTCTGGACCCCGGGTTGAACCCCAACAAGTCAAACAGATAAGGAGAGAGTTCTCGGAGGTTTTCTGGGAGCTGCTAAGGTGCACCCACCTAGTAACATCTTACTGAAGCCACTCCCAAGACAGTATGGGTGCCACCCTTTCCCTGTCCCTTAAAGGTTAAAGCAAGTAATAATAGACAAGGTAAAGAATATGTTGTGGCTGTGGGAAATAAAGGGGTGAGGGAGTCCTTGGAGAAGTCAACCTGTGTTAGTTCTAAACAGGACAGCAAGTGTTCATTTAAAGAACAGTTAACTAACAGAGTTCAATGCATGCCATGGGTGGGGGGGCTGCTAGAGCAAACACGGCAAACCAATTTCCCCAGCATCCTAGATCACAGATCCTGGCAGATCCTGCTAACCCCAGAAGCAAAAAAAAAAAAAAAAATGGCATTCTTGATGCCAGCAAGACTGAGTCTGTCCACAGCCTGGTTAGAGCAGAGGTCTCCAACTGTATATTTATGGTCTATACAGTTCAATTTCACTGAAGTTAGTTATCACTTCTATAAAATTTTATTAACATTTTCCTTTATTCTTACTGACATACATTTTAATATCTCCATCCACATCTTTTCCCAGTCTGCATTACTAATATTCTTCCTCAAACCTGTTACTTTAAGTGGATCACCTTTTACTTACTATCCTTTTCATCCACATATAATCTTATTTTTCCTTTAATCATATCTTCAATTTTAGTGTAATCCCCACATCAACCTCTTTATCCATTCTCCAATCCAACATTCTAGATGGTTATTTTTTCCTTACCTAATGCTGCTTTTATCTCCCCATTTTATTCAATTCCTCTAACCAATCTCTCAATCATTTGTTTGATCTTTAATGTTTTCCTTGCAGGCTAAGATTGAATGGACACCCTTGCAATTGGGTAATTGGACGTGATGGTCAGACTGGTGGCATAAACTTTTCCTGGCATTTGTCAGATCCTAACTGGAGGATTCCCAGGGGAGAGGCTGTCACGGAGCTGCCGGGTGCCTCAGGGCAGGGGCTGGAGGCAGAGACAGAGGTGATGGCGATCCATCTTGGAAGAGCGTAGGGAGTGCATGCCTTGGCCAGAGTGGTGCTCCTCAAAAAGCATCCTGACCTAGCTAGTCCACTGTGCTGCTTCCCAGCTGCTATAAAATTGGATCAGACCAAGCCTTCATGGCAAACGGCACACTCTGATAGTGCTCCTTGCTTTTCCCGAGGGTTTGATCAGCATCTAGATTTGGTGGCTCGTTTCCCCCCCCAGACGTTTGTTGCACACTCGTACCTGATGTGGCACTTTCAATCACACACACACCTCGCAGTCTTGACTCAACTGCACAGACGATTCTTGAACTAAGCTGGTTCTTGAACTACTCTTAGGGATGGAACATTTGTGGGCACTGGACAGGACATTATTCTAAGAGTATGTGTGTGCTGAATGTTATTTTAACACAACAAAGTCCATAGTTTACACCATGGGTCCTCAAACTACGGCCCACAAGCTGGATCCGGCCCACCATGCCCACTTATCTGGCCTGCCACAGAGGTTTTGGACTCGCCACACACATGCCCGCCCCGCCCCGCCTGCAGGGAGGCAGCGGCTTGCTCGCACAGAGAGTGTTTTGGACTTGCTCAGAGAAAACAATCTCCAAGCGAGCAAGCCACTGCCTCGCCTCCACTCGCTGCGCGCCCCGCCTCAGCGTGCATGCCCGCCCGCACACACCACCCTCGCCGGCCCGCATGCACCGCTGGCACCGCCTTTCCGACCTGCACCCAGCACCAGCACCTTTCAACTGGCCCCCTGGTGAAAAAGTTTGAGGACCCCTGGTTTACACACATATAATACTATATAAATAACATAGTAGTGATAAATGTAATAAAACAATGCAATAACAACAGTGCTACCTCGAGCAAGTCCAACAGATGCATGCTGGTTTTGTTTGTTTAGTCGCTAAGTTGTGTTTGACTCTTCATGTCCCCATGAAAAACATTGCTCCAGGCTCTCCTGTCCTCCTTCCATTAGGCTTAGAAATTAAACTATTAAGGAAAATTTCCAGGATGCCTTCATATTTCTATCTTCTAGTATTTTATTAAACAAATCTTTTAATTTTGGAATCAAAATCGTTTTAAAAGCTTTATAATATTCTGGTCCTAATCTTTCTGTTCCAGGAGAGTTCCTTATTTTCTTCTTGTTAATTGTTGCTAGTCGCAAAGTCATGGCCGATCCAGGCCTCCCCAGGCCTTCATGTCCTCCACCATCCCCCGGAGTCCACCTAAGCTCACACCAACTGCTTCAGTGATTCCATCCAGCCACCTCATCCTCTGCCGTCCCCTTCTTCCTTTGCCCTCAATTGTTCCCAGCATGAGGCTTTTCTCCAGGGAGTCCTTCCTTCTCATTAGGTGGCCAAAGTACTTGAGTTTCATCTTCAGCATCTGGCCTTCTAAAGAGCAGTTGGGGTTGATCTCCTCTAGGACTGACCGGTTTGATCGCCTTGTGGTCCAAGGGACTCACAGGAGTCTCCTCCAGCACCGCAATTCAAAGGCCTCAATTCTTCGGCGCTCAGCCTTCCTTATGGTCCAGCTTTCACAGCCATTCATTTCAAGTGGGAAAACCATAGCCTTGACTATACGCACTTTTGTTGGCAGGGTGATGTCTCTGTTTTTTTTAGTATACTGTCTAGATTTGCCATAGCTTTCCTCCCCAGGAGCAAGTGTCTTTTAATTTCTTGGCTGAAGTCCCCATCTGCAGTGATCTTGGAGCCCAGGAAAATAAAATCTGTCACTACCTCCATTTCATACCCATCTATTTGCCAGGAAGTGAGAGGACAGGATGCCATGATCTTAGTTTTCTCAATGTTGAGTTTCAAGCCAACTTCTGCCCTCTCCTCTTTCACCTGCATCAAGAGGCTCTTTAGTGCCTCTTCACTTTCTGCCATGAGAATGGTATCATCTGCATATCTGAGGTTCTTGCTATTTCTCCCAGCAATCTTAATTCCAGCTGGTGATTCATCTAGCCCCACCTTTCTCATGAAGTGCTCTGCATGTAAGTTAAATAGGCAGGGCGACAGTATACAGCCTTGCTGAACTCCTTTCTCAATTTTGAACCGATCAGTGGTTCCGTGTCCAGTTCTCACTGTTGCTTCTTGACCCACATACAGGTTTCTCAAGAGGCAAATAGGGTGGTCTGGTACACCCATCTCTTTAAGAACTTGCCATAATTTGTTGTGATCCACACAATCAAAGGCTTTAGCATAGTCAATGAAGCGGAAGTAGATGTTTTTCTGGAACGCCCTAGAAACAGAGCGAGTCAGAAGGGGTCTCCCGGGCCATCTAGTCTGACCCCCGGCTCCAGCCGGCTCCACTCATGACATGCCCACCATGTGTATGTCCAGCCTATCTTGCACTGATAGGGGCCTCAACAACCACTCGTGGAAGCCCATTTCACACCCTCGGGGTCCTGACTGTCAGAAAGTGCTTCCTGGCATCCAAATGGAACCTGGGTTCCCTGAGCTTTGGTCCACTGGAGCGCGTCCTGCCTTCCTCTGCAGGGGAGATCAGGTCTCAACCCACCTCCGTGTGACCCACCCCCTAGCTTTCTTCATGATCCAGCGTATGTTGACAGTTTGATCTCTAGTTCCTCTGCCTCTTCGAAATCCTGCCTGTACTTCTGGTAGTTCTCAGTCCACCTGCTGGAGCCTAGCTTGTAGGATTTGGAGCAAAACTCTGCTAGCATGTGAAATGAGTGCAATGGTGTGGTAGTTTGAACTTTCTTTGGCATTGCCCTTCTTTGGGATCGGAATGCAAACTGACCTTTTCCAATCCTGTGGCCACTGTTGAGTTTTCCAGATTTACTGGCATATTGAGTGTAGTACTTTTACTGCATCGTCTTTTAGGGTTTTGAATAGCTCAGCTGGAATACTGTCACCTCCACTAGCTTTGTTGTTGCTCAGACTTCCTAAGGCCCATTTGACTTCACATTCCAGGATGTCCGGCTCGAGGTCAGTGACCACCCCATCGTGGTTATCAGGGACATTAAGCTCTTTCTTGTATAGTTCTTCTGTGTAATCTTGCCACCAATTCTTAATGTCTTCTGCCTCTGTTAGGTCCCTGCCATTTTTGTCCTTTATCATGCCCATCTTTGCATGAAATGTTCCCTTCATATCTCCAGTTTTCTTGAAGAGGTCTCTAGTCTTCCCTATTCTGTTTTCTTCTACTTCTTTGCACTGTTCATTGAGGAAGGCCTTCTTATCTTTATTAGCTATTCTCCGGAATTCTGTATTCAATTGGGTGTATCTTTCTCTTTCTCCCTTGCCTTTCGCTTTGCTTCTTTCCTTAGCTATTTGTAAAGTTTCCTCAGTCAGTCATTTTGCTTTCTTGCATTTCTTTTTCTTTCGGACTGTTTTTGTTGCTATCTCTTGTACAATGTTGCGAAACTCGGTCCATAGTTCTTCAGGCACTCGGTCTATCAGATCTAATTCCTTAAATTTATTTGTCACCTCTACTGTATATTCATTAGGGATATGATTTAGGTCATACCTGAGTGGCCTAGTGCTTTTCCCTACCTTCTTCAATTTAAGCCTGAATTTTGCCACAAGAAGCTCATGATCTGAGCCACAGTCGGCTCCTGGTCTTGTTTTTACCGACTGTATAGAGTTTCTCCATCTTTGGCTGCAGAGCACATAGTCAGTCTGATTTCTGTGTTGACTGGTGATGTCCATGTGCAGAGTCGTCTCTTGGGTTGTTGGAAAAGAGTGCTTGCTATGACCACTGCATTCTTCTTGATAAAATTCTTCCAGCCTGTGCCCTGCTTCATTTTGTACTCCAAGGCCAAACTTGCCTGTTATTCCAGTTATCTTTTGGCTTCCTGCTTTAGCATTCCAATCCTTCATGATGATACAGTCATCATTTTTTGGTGTTAATTCTAGAAGGTGTTGTAGGCCTTCATAGAACTAGTCAGCTTTCAGCCTTTTCAGTACCAGTGGTTGGAGCATAGACTTGGACTACTGTGATGTTGAATGGTTTGCCTTGGATTCGAACTGAGATCATTCTGTCATTTTGGAGATTGTATCCCAGTACTGCTTTTCCTACTCTTTTATTGACTATGAAGGCTACTCCATTTCTTCTGAGGGATTCTTGCCCGCAGTAGTATACCCGATGGTCCTCTGAATTAAATTCACCCATTCCTGTCCATTTTAGTTCACTGATTCCTAGGATGTCGATGTTCAGTCTTGCCATCTCTTGTCTGACCACGTCCAGCTTGCCTTGATTCATGGATCTTACATTCCAGGTTCCTATGGAGTATAGATCTTTGCAGCATCGGACTTTCCTTTCACCACCTGATGCATCCGCAACTGTGTGTCCTTTTGGCTTTGACCCAGTCGCTTCACTCTTTCTGGCGCTACTAGTACTAGCCCTCTGCTCTTCCCCAGTAGCACATTGGACACTTTCCAACCTGAGGGGCTCATCTTCCGGCGTCGTATCGTTTTGCCCTTTGGTACTGTCCATGGGGTTTTCATGGCAAGGGTACTGGAGTGGGTTGCCATTTCCTTCTCCAGTGGATCGTATTTTGTCAGAGCTCTCTGCTATGATCTGTCCGTCTTGGATGGCCCTGCATGGCATAGCTCATCACTTCATTGCACTACCCAAACCCCTTCAATTTCCTCCAAAAGGATCTGGACAGATTCTGGAAGTGGGTGGGGGACAACAGGATGGCATTCCATGCGGATAAGTGCAAAGTCTTGCACTTGGGACTCAGGAATAGGTGCCATAGGTACAGGATGGGGGCCAGGTATCTGGAGAGCAGCACTTGTGAGAGGGACCTCAGGGTACTTGTCGACAGCAGGCCTAGCATGAGCCAGCAGTGTGATGCAGTGGTTAAGAGGCAAACACCACCCTTGATTGTATAGTCAGAGGGGTGACTTCCAAATCTAGAGAGGTATTGATAGCACTCTATAAGACTCTGGTGTGCCCACAACTGGAGTACTGCATCCAAGAGAGGCATAGCAAGTTTGGAATCAGTTTAGCGCAGGGTTACAAGGATGGTAGCTGGATTAGGAGACATGCCATATGAGATGAGATTGAGGGAGCTGGGCCTTTTCAGCCTGGAGAAAAGGAGACTCCAGGGGGATCTGATAGTGCTGTACAGGTATGTACAGGGGTGTCACACAGTAAAGGGTCGTAACCTGGTGGAGGGAAGGATGTGGTTCAATGGAGCTAAGCTGAAGGAACCAGGGTTCAGGTTGGATGTCAGTGAAGGTTAGGACCCCCAGGATATGGAATGGGCTTCCAAGGGAGGTGGTGGAGGGCCCCCCCCCCACCAGGGAGGGTGTTCAAGGAAATTTGGACGATGACATGTTGGGGATTACTTAAGCAGAGCTGGCTAGAGCTGGGGATCAAATTGATGGCCCAGGAGGCCCATTCTGGCTCAATGCATTTCTATGTTTCTATGATAGTATAGAACTTTACAAGTTCCTGAAAGAGGACAAGATCTCTTCTCATTCATTCCAGAGTGCAGGACACGGAATAATGGACTTAAGTTAAAGGAAACCAGATTTAGACTGGACACCAGGACTTTCCTCACTCTTAGAGCAGTACGACAGTGGAACTTAACTCCTGGGGAAGTTGTTAGGGTTAGAGGTTTGAATTAAAGACATTCAAAAAGTGTCTGGACAGTCATCTGAATGGGATGGTGTAGCTTAGTGCCCTGCAAGCGCAGACAGTTGGACTTGATGGCCTTCTGGTCCATTCCAACTCTGACATTCGATGGTTCAGTGAGTCATCACTACTGGTGGTGGCAGTGAATTCCATAGTTTAGCCATGCCCTTTGTGAAGAAGTCCTTCCTTTGCCCTGAATCTTCCACCAACCCTCCTCTTTGTGGCATCCCATTGGTTCTAGTATGGCCTCTTTCTCCATGCCATAATTTTAAACACTTGTATTTTATCTCCAGTTACTCACCTTTTCTTTTAAGTTAAACAGTTCCAGTTATTGTATCCAGCCCTCACAGTGGGGCTGCACAAACTTCATAGTTTAGGTGCTCCTCTCTGCATTTTTCCAACTTATTAATAATGTCCTTTTTCAGGTGTGGCAACCAGAACACTACACACCATTCTAAGTGCAGTTGCACCTAAGATTTGCATAAGGGGAGTATGATCTTGGCAGTCTTCTGTAAACTGTCCAGAGAAATTCGGTTATTGGGTGGGATAGAAATAAAATAAATAGAATTGATAGATGTCAAAAATACATGGTAATGTATGAATGCAACACTAGTGTAACAGAAAATGTTCAGCTGAAATAGCATTCTTGGTTGCAATAAGGCTCTGCTAGCTTGAGAAACTGGACACACACTGAGAAGAGTTAATTGCTGGCATCCGACTTTCAGCATAAATGCCTACTCTTCAGTGATGGGATGGATGTGTGGATGGAGTTAGGCCAAAATGACCAATGAACTGGGTTCATTAAAGAAAACCTTGAACCTCCGGAGTTTATTGAAAGATCACTCAGGCACCCTGCCGAGAAACCATACTTAAAATAGCACTGTCAGGTACAGGCCAGACCAACCTCAAGCTTTAGGAACATACACAGAGTAGGTTCTAAGTCAAAGCAGCAGGGTAGATGATGAAGAAACAACAGGAACACAGTCAAAAGAAGGTGAGAAGTCTGCAGAAGGGGCTCAATACAATGGTATTGATTACAGGAAATTAGCATAGTAATCAGGAGTCATTGTCATTCTTCCCTGCAAGTTTGGTCATGCAAATTAGAGTGATTACAATGCTGTTAACCTGCCAGCTTCTCAGCTATGAGTTCCAACTTCTTAAACTAGCAGCAAATGCTTAACAGTAACTTGACTTGGAATTCTGGTGTTGAGAAAGGGGGGCAAGTATTTTTTATAACACAAAGGCACATATAAGCAAGATTTTTCTGCCAGGATTTATCTGAATTTTCCCAACAGTTGCTGGCATCCAACTTTTGGCTTAAATGTTCACTCTTCAGTGATGGGATGGATGCATGGATGAGGATAGGTTAAAATGACCAATGATCCAGTTTGCTCTTAAAGGTATAGAAACATATGGAACTTTAATGGTTGGTGCCAGTCTATTATGAAATAGGAGGCTGCTCTGAATTGTTGGGTGGATGCTTCAATAAAGAGCTTTCTTTCTTTCTTTTTAATCTTGCTGGTGGTTTGTTGTCTCTTGTGGTGAGGGAAACAAACGTTTATCCCAGTCGGGGTTAAGGTTAGGGTTAGAGTCCCTGACCGAATTTTCCTTTTCTTTCCTAATTATGCCTTCCTCCAGCCCAGTGTTGAAGTACAGGCTGGGGTTTGTGCTTTGGCAGAATGGGGAAGGCTCACAGGGATGGAGAGCCTCGGTTTCAAATCCCTTCTCAGACATTTTAGGAGCTTTGGGCCAGTGTGAGATCTCTTTCTTACCCTAGCCTACCTCACAGGGTGGTTGTGTGGACACAGTCGGATAAGACAGGCAGGGAGGAGGAAGGGGAGCCATGCATCTTCCTTTCAGCTCATCGGGGTAGACAAATCTAATTAACGTCATGATTAATTAACGTCATTTAACGCTAATTGACATTCACGTTCATTCCTGATTTCCCCCTCCCTACTTCCCCCACTCTGTTCTTCAGAAGGGGTTGGAACCTTCCTTCCGATGGCTTCTGTTCCAGGCCGGTCAAAATTCTCGGTTGCTGCCCCTTCCTCCGAGAGCGGCGGACACCATTATGAGCCGCGCCGCAGGTAACAGAGCGCGGCAGGAGGGCGAGAAAGTCGCTGCGGGAGGCGGGGCGAAACAGTGCCGAAGGCGTGATGGACGCCCAGAAAATCAAGTGAGCGACGCGATGGCGTCACCAATAGCCAATAGGCGTTGAGAAGCGCGGGGGGCGGGGCCGTTGCCAGGGGCCGGCGGTCCGGGCAGGAAGGAGCGGCGAGGCGAGGCCGCCCTGGCCTGCGGGGGGCAGAAGAGGGAGGTGGGGCGTGCGGTCCTGCTGTACCGCTCCAGCTGCGCAGCTCCGGGCTGGGCCGATCCGGGGTTGATTCCGGTTCACTTCGTCGCTAGTTTGGAATCGCGACCCCAGGAAGCTACGGGGGGCAGGTGGGGGCGCTGAGAGCAGGACCTCTGGTGCAGGCTGAGCAACATGCTAATTAATGTTAGTGATTTTTGTAGTTTTTAATTATTACTATCAATTGGTTTTGATTGCTTGTTGCTCTTTACCCGTGTTGATGTGCGTCCAGCGCTCCTGCCCAAAGGGCGCTTGGCTGCAGGGCTCGCAGAGGTAAGAAGGTAAGAGGGGCCGTTTTGGTGGTCTTTATTTTTTCCTGTAATATTCATTTCTGTTTACCTCGCCACCCTGAGTGGTTCTCGGTAGTTCGCAGCAATTGATTGTTGGAAGCTGGTTTTAGATACGTGTGTGTCTCTTTTTGCACTTCTGTTTATACATTTGGATCTGCTTGTTTTTTTAAGAATGATTTCTAAGGTATAATCTTTCAGAAGCACCCAACGAGCTTCTGCTCTCGGGGAGTATAGAAAAGTAAGCAATGACATGAGAATGGGATTTTGGATTTTAAAAAAAAGATTTGATAATAACTGAAATGTATTGAAACCATTGGAGTAGAAATGATAGGAGTAAACTGACTAGGAGGATGCAAGGACTCTGTTGGGGTGGGTGAAAAGGAATAAAAATTGTGTTGGATACTTCTTTGGCTAATCAGAATTATCGGTAGTGTTACGAATATCACATTATACTCGGCCCTCTTCCTTCTTGCAGGAAAGCCAAGGCAACTTACATGGTTGTTGTCTTCTCTGTTTTATTCTCACCACACCCTTGTGAGAAAGGTTAGTCTGAGAGGCAGGCACTGGCTCAAAGTCACCCCGTAGGCTTCACGGGTGAATGGAGCACTGAAAGTTGAGTCTCCCCAGCATCATCCCAGTACTATTTATTTATTTAAAATATTTATATCCCGTCCTATATGAAAAAAATGCCCCAGGACAGATTACAAAACTATAGTAATTAATAACAACAAAATCCATAAACAACAAGAACATAATACCAACAAAAATAAAAATCAAAAAACAAAAAGCAACTGTGAGTGTTAAAACCAATTAAAAGTTCTAATTCTTAAAATGATGGGTAAAGAAAAAGTTTTTCACCTGGTGCCAAAAAGAATATAAAGTTGGTGCCAGGTGAACCTCTCTGGGGAGTGCATTCCAGAGTCTGGGAGCCACTGTTGTGAAGGCCCTCCTCTGGGTAGAGACCGTCTTTACCTGCTTCAGGAGGGTTCCCAGAGCAGAGCCTCCTCTACCGATCTTAGGGGGCACAAGGACATATAGGGAAGGAGGTGCTCCTTCAGTAATCCTGGTCCCAAGCCGTTTATCAGGAGCCAGAGGACCAGCGTTATATGAGAGTGACAACTGGTCCCCATAAGCAGCCTGGCAGCTCTGTTTTGAACCAGCTGAAGTATCCGGGCCATCTTCAAGGGCAGCCCTACGTAGAGCACATTACAATAGTCCAAACAGGAGGTTACCAGAGTGTGTGTCACCGTTGCTAGGCAGTGCTCCTCCAGGAACGGATGCAGCTGATGGATCAGCCACTGCTGCCACTTGGGCCTCCAGGGACAGCTCTGGGTTGAGGAGCACTCCTAGGCTGTGGACCCAGTCCTTTAGAGGGAGTGCAACCCCATCCAGGACAGGGCCAAAATCACTTACCTGAAGACTGGAACCACCCACCAGAATGACCTCCGTCTTATCTGGATAGAGTCTCAGTTTATTGGCCCTTGGAGGGTGGGAATGATGCAAAAAGCATGGTGAGTTACGTTAAAAGGGAGAGGTGAGGCTGCTGAGGTTATTTGGAAATAAGAAATGAATGACTAGGCTCACACACGTTTAACAATATTGGCCATGGGCCCAGTTTCTAGTTGGGTGCCCTTCAGCTCCATAATCACCCAGCCATAATATCGGAGCAACTATTATTATTGTTATTGTTATTGTTATTGCTATTATTTATTTGAAATGCATACAGTCCATCTGAGCAGCTTACAACAGTTCATAAAAGTGACACAATAAAATGCTGTAAAAAAATTTCCAAACTACACAAATTTAAAACCAAGCTAAAATGTAGAAAACAGCGACTAGGGCCAGCTTGTTTGCTGTGGAAACTCACCATCTTTCTTCCAGTAAATTTCAGTTGATCAGTTTGTATTCAGAAAGGAACAATGCATCTCATGTTGGTTAGCTCAGAAGAGGATTTCCTTTTATGTCATGCCTTCCAGAGCTGTCCCTTGTATCACAGGGTTTTGTTTTATGCAAATATTTCTCCCTTTCTCATTCTCTTGTCAGTATAATCTGAATTGTCCACCGAGCTTCTGAGGAGTGCAGCACCCTGAACCCTGAGCCAAACTCCTGGCCTTCTGCCTCCAAGCCACAATGACAGTGCTGGTGGCCAAGGTGCTCTGCTTGCTGGGCGTCTTTGTGCTCATGCTGGGAGGGTCGCTCCTGCCGGTCAAGCTCACTGAAGCAGACTACGAGAAAGCCCATCGCTCCCGGTGTGTTGGCCTCTGCAACTCCTTTGGCGGAGGTGTCTTCTTGGCCACCTGCTTTAACGCTTTGCTTCCCACTGTGCGAGAGAAGGTAGGCGGGGTGGATGGGGGGTACACCAAGTCCTCATGAAGGGGGACTTCCACTGGTCCCTCCCCCCCACCCAGTTTGTTTTCATCTGTTCTGCCGTAGAATGAAATTTCTGTGCTGAGAGGCAGCCTTCCTTGGCAAACCAATTGGCTGCTATGCGATGTTCCAGCCCTCTCCATATGGGGTTTAATGGTTGCCATATCAGTCTGCTCCTGGGTCTCCAGATGATGCTTGTAAATGCCAGATCGGTGTAGAATAAAACCTTCCCCCATTGGCAGTTTACTAGTGGATGTGGCAGATTCCAGCTGGACCTGTGTGACTGAGAACTGAGTGGGTGAACAGAAGTTACTCTCTCCCAGTAGACCAGAGGGCCAGGGACAGGGGATTGGTGTGGGCTGCAAGAATTCAGTCTCTCTCTCCAGGCACCCTGACCGTCCAACAACTAGTCTGGAGTGTTTGCACCTTGTGTTGGGGTAACAGGACAAACTGGGCATTCTGTTGATGTACCACCCACCCTGCAACCCATCAGTCTGCCAGAAGCCTTGGATGTAGAATCATAGAATAGTAGAGTTGGAAGGGGCCACTGGGTTGTAGGGTCCAACACCTGCAGATGGCTGTCCAACTGCCTCTTGAATGCCTCCAGGGTGGGAGCGCCCACCACCTCCCCATGACTTTGCTTCTATTGCCACACTGTTCTGAGTTGGGAGGTTTTTCCTGATGTCCAGCTGGAATCTGCCTCCCTGCAACTTAGTCCTGTTCTTCTGTGTCCTAAACTCTCAGATGATTGAGAAGTGATCCTGACCCTCCTCCAGATGGCAGCCTTGTGATGTGATTTTGCCTTGTTTGCTTGTTTGTCCAGGCTGTTGGTTCTGGGAGATTTCAACCCCAGAAGGTACTCTATCAGGAGCAGCTCAGGATTTCATGGCCCTCATAACTACCATGGGACTGCCCCAAGATGTCTTCATCCCAACACATCTAGCAAATTTGCATGTACTTTGGATTGAGTCTTTTGAGCAGGATATAAGGATGAGTGTTGGAGATTTTTACTTAGTCCCTTTGTCGTGGTCAGATCACCACCTGGTGAGATTTAGAGGTGGCTTTTCCCTTCCATAAGGGTGGGGAACTATTAAGACAGTCTGGCTCCAGAGGCTGATGGATCCACCATCAAACTCCTGTTTGCTCTCCTGGGTCACTTGCTGTGGTCACTCGCTCCCTGGGAGCTGGGCTGCTTGTATCCCAGAGGCCTTAGATCAGCTGGGGCAGCTTGCCCTGCTCCCTGCTCAGGGTAAGGAACCACAACCAGGTTGATAGTGTAGGGGTGCTCTTCGATCCATCTTTGCCTCAGTGGCACAGAGTGCCTTCTGGCTAGTTCACTTGGTGGCCCCGCTATGCCCCTGTTCGGGCAGGGGTAGCCTCATTTCAGTAATCTGTGCTCTGCTGATCTCCAGATTGGATTACTGCAGTACACTCTTTGTGGAGATTGTTCAGGAGCTGCAGCTTCTGCAAATGTGGGATTTGTGTACTGAGATATCAGGGAGGTGAATGGTTACTCACCTCTGTTTTGCAGCTTTCAACAAACTCAGACCCTGTGAGGTGACCGCAAGGGCCAGGAACTCGGCCAGTGTCAAAAAGGGACTTGGTTGCAGTGCCTTGATGTGGAATTGATCCCTCCCTCCCTCCTCCCCTCCCCAGCTCCAGGAGGTTCTGAAAGTGGGCAATGCGACCACGGACTATCCCTTGGCAGAGACGCTCATGCTCGTGGGCTTCTTCATGACAGTGTTTGTGGAGCAGCTCGTCCTGACCTTCCGGAAAGAAAAGCCTTCCTTCATTGACCTGGAGACCTTCAATGCCAGCTCAGACATCGGCAGTGACTCGGAGTGCGAGAGCTCCTTCATTGGGCCCTCCTGGGGACGCGGCAGCGCCCCGCACGGCGACCATGGCCAGCGCCCCCACGTCCACGGGCTCAGTGCCCACGAGCTGGCCCGCGCCAGCCCCCTGCGCCTCTTCAGCCTGGTCTTCGCCCTGGCAGCCCATTCCATCTTTGAGGGCCTGGCCCTGGGCCTGCAGGAGGAGGGGGCCAAGGTCACGAGCCTCTTCCTGGGCGTGGCTGTGCACGAGACCCTGGTGGCCGTGGCCCTGGGCACTGACATGGCCAAGTCTGGGCTGACGCTGCGGGAGGCGGCCAAGCCGGCCGTCACGGTCAGCCTGATGATCCCACTGGGCATCACCGTCGGCCTGGGCATCGAGAGTGCCCGGAGCGTGGCCAGCAGTGTCATTTCGGTGCTCCTGCAGGGCATTGCAGGCGGCACTTTCCTCTTCGTCACCTTCTTTGAGATCTTGAGCAAGGAGCTGGAAGAGAAGAGCGACCGACTGCTCAAGGTGCTCTTCCTGGTTCTGGGGTACGCGGTCCTGGCAGGCCTCGTCTTTTTCAAGTGGTAAAGGGGCCTGCTCTTTGCCCATCCCGGCAGGTGAGAGGGGGAGCAGGGGCCCCTTCCTGGCAGTTCCAGAACCAAGCCAGGGGCAGGACGGAGTAGGGCTTGCTTGCATGCAAGGAGGTGCGAGGCAGCCCCTCTCTGCACAGCACGGCTGGACATGGCAGTTCCATGCCCAGCTTTTCACATCCTCAGGGAGAAATGCGCAGCTGAACTGACTGCATTCTCGTTTCCACCTGATGTTCCTGTCTGTGGAAGATACCTAAGCAGCGTGTGCGTGGCAGCTGTTGGGCTGGTTCGCCTGTTGGCATGGTCCCACCTCTGCCACATCCCAGGCTTCCAAAGGAATGAGCTGCCCTGGGTCCATGTTTCTGTTTTTGTACCGGACCCATCAAAGGCTGATCGTTCTGCTTCTTCCTCCTTGCCCCACAATGATCTTGTTTACAGGCAGGCAGTGAGCTTCAGCTGTTTGCAACTGTTACTGATGTTTTACAAAGAGAAAAGCAAAGTCTGTTTTGACTATTAAAACGGGGGAAGGGAGCAGAGGCTGGAGCAGGGACTTTGCTTTCCCATTCTTGGGAAGGCTGGACTCCGCTCTGTCCTCCATCATGCTGTCTCTTGCAGCTCCTAGATGCCTGCTGCTTTCTAGCTGCTAATATTTAGCTTGTGTTACCAAACACTGTTATTCTGTGAAGACATGTAGGTTTTTTAGACTGGGGCCTTTCCTTGGATGGGTTGCAGAGGGGTTTGCCAACCTGCAAAGGGAAGCTCACCCTTTCCTGCTGAAGCCAAGGAGTTCTGGTTTGAAAATGTCTTCCAATTTAGAGAAAAATTTGAAGCTTCTCTTCTTGCAGAGAAGCAAGAATTTGCCATTTCGTTCTGAAATGGTTCTTGCTTTAAGTTTCATCTCACCAAGGCTCCTCCCTGGGGTGCCACAAATGAGCCACTATTAAAATGGCCTTAGAAGGTTGTGTGGTGTTATTGATCTGACTTGCTGTCATGTTGGTTGTCCTAGTTTCTGTGCGAAGGAGAGAATGGAGTGGCTAAGAAAAGGGGGCCTGTCTCCAAGTCATCAGGATTAGGTGACTCCCAGGAGGGTCTTTCATGTGCCGTCGTGGCATAGCAGCTGGAGAGCAGATGGCAAAATCCCTCTGCAACCTGAAAAACCACAACATGGCCTTTGCCAGTGGGAACATCTTCGGATGTGTCCTACCACTACCCGTCTGTGCTAGCCGGGGGTGGCCAGAGTCAAAGTTCGTCACAGCCATGGGGAGACTGGGGAGGGCTGAATAACCACTCATTGCATCAACATCATCCAGGTGTAAAACCTTGGAGGGAACTGCATGGGAGGGCTGTTTGTTGAAAAGCTGGTTGCTCTGTGCCAGGGCTGCTTTTGCTTCCAGAGCTTCTAACAGGTAAGGAAACGACCAGATAATTCCTGTTGCCTTTTTAGAGAGTAGGACTGCATGTGTGTTTGTGTACACAGGGCTGAAGAGAAAAAGACGGGTAGATGGTGAGGCAGGCAGACCAGTTGTACTCACTTGAGTTCTTGACATCACCACCAGTCAGCAAAAAATGTCCAGTTACTCTCCCTGTTTGTTCCTCTTTGTCCACTTTCCAGATGAGCGCAGGATTCAAGACTGGGGTGGCAGAGTCTTCTGGGGCAGAGCCAAGGGCTCACTTTGGCTGTGTGAGCTCTCCTGAAGCTGGAGATGAAGGCAAATTGGATGCTGGCATCTGTGGAGGGCCCCCCATTGCTGCCCCCTTGTGCTAGCTGCAGGCCTGTGCAGGTGGATTTTGGGGAAGCGGTGCTCAAGATTTCTCCCTGCCTGTTCAAAGGCCTGAAATGTTCCTCTGGCTGGGTGGGAAAAGGACATTGAATAGCCTTCACCAGTCTGACCTAGAGGGAGGTGGCCACTGGCAGGCCAGGGAGGGCCAGGGGACCCGTGTCGTTGCCCTTTCCATCAGCAGCTGGTCCCTGTGTTGCCAAACATTGGTGGACACACCTATCCAAGCCTTGTGGGCAGCCCCTTCCCTTGCTGGTGGATCTGTGGGTGCAAAAGGCTTCCATTCTCAACCAGAGGCTGAGGCTGCTGTTCTGGCTGATTCTCAGGCCGAAGCTGGCCAAAGCTCGAAGCCATGTGGGACTTCTTGCTTCTTATGACTGGGAAGGCAGCATCCTCTGTAGGTAATGGACTGATCCATGTACAGGGAAGGCATTCTGTTGCCGTGGGGCTGGCACAGTGGCCAACACCTGGCACAGGATGGCCACCATTGAGGCAAGTACTGTTTCCCCAGGGACGCGGGCCCTCCAGGAGAAGGGCATGAAAATGAGGGAAGGGGCTCCATTCGCACAGGCTGTTGGCTTCCTTTGTCCCTGCTGGGTGGTCTGTCTGGTTGTTGTTTCCTTCAGACGTTTTCACTCGGTGCCATTAGCAAGGCATCTGGAGCTTTTGTTGCCACCTCGCCTCCGATGCCTGTTCCTCTTGCTTACAGTGGAAATCTGTTAAGGAGCAAGTTCATATCCATGCAGCTTGCAAACAACCTCTCCAGAGAGCAGGCACTTGGCCGGGAGCCTCTCGGCATCTCTGACCCATGGACGCAGTGATGGTCTTGGTGGTCTGGGAAATCTTGCACGTGAGGTCAGCTTAGGGGCCATGTCAGAGCAGGCATGTTTAGAAATTAAATCCATGTCTTTCTGGCGCATGTAAGTTTAGCATGGAGAATTGTGTGTGAGGTATTTATTATCTTCCTTCTTAGTTTGGAGGGAGTTATCCTAACCTCCATGGTGCTGCTAATCATCAGACTTTTAGCCAGTATTTAAATAAAGCTTCTTTTGAAAACGATGTTATCTGTGTGTGTGTGTGTGTGTGAGTGAGTGACTGACTGACTGACTGACTGACTGACTGACTGACTGACTGTCTAGTCTGCCTGTCTGCCTGTGTCTCTCCATTATGGGGAGTGAAGTTTCAAATGTGCATGTGCCATAATCCCTAAATGGCTCAGGGCCAGGATACCTGAAGGACCACCTGCTCTCATGTATACCTACCCAGTTCCCAAGATCTGGTGAGGAAGTCCGAGAGATCCATCCTTTAAGATGGTAAAGAGGATGGCAAATAGACGCAGGACTTTCTCAGTGGCTGACCTCCAATTATGAAATGGCCTGAAGGCAGCTTGCTTGGTGTCATCTTCAGAATCTTTTTGGCACCAGGTGAAAACATTTTTTAATAGATTTTAAATATTTTAATAGATGTTATACTTGGGTATTATTTATACTGTTTTTACCTTTAATATATTTAACTTATATATATCTGACCTCGGCTGTGTATTGTAGGTTGTTTTTTTTATTAGATGAAATATTGTTATTTAATACTGTAATCCACTTGGAGAATCTTTAGACTAGTATAGCGGAATATAAGTTGAATGAATAAATGAGTAACTAAGAAGAGTCTGCTAAGGTTGTACAAATGAAAATGGAGGCCCTAATGATATAGCAACCAGCTTTTGGGGACAGGAGGAGGAAGAAAGGGTGGCTAATGCCAGTGGCCTCTGGAGCAAAAGATCTGCAAAAAAAGCTGCATCCTGGAAATCTGTTGCTTCCTTTTGCAGCAGGGCCCCCAGTATGGCATTTGTTGCACCCAAAAAAGTATTTTTATTGTTCATTATTTCCTCCCACTCCTTTAATATATGTGCATGGATTTGTGTGAAAAGATACAAATTCAAAGTAATTATACATTGGAGTCAAAGATGGAGCAAAATAAGTATTAATCTGGGGCTTCTGCGTAGCACCTGCTATTATATTGAAGATGTTTTAAGGTTCTCAGCCGATAGCGTTACAAGAGATGAGTGCTTATCCTTGCAGTGTTGTAATATCTGGCTTATAGTGGCTAAAGAAGGGACAGGAAGCAGTTTAGCCCAATCATTCATTCATTTTTGGGAAGCAAGTAGATAATTTGGACAGCCATCTGGGATGGTGCAGCGTGGTGCGCTGCAACGGTGGGCTGGACCCAGTGGCCTTCGTGGCCCCTTCTCACTCGACTGTCCTGTGAGTACAGGGATTTGGAAGAATGTCTACGCCGGAGAATACGGAAGGCTGTTCATCTCAGGTGCTTGGTATGTGCCCACCTGGCTTCATTTTCCAGCAAGCGCAAGGGTACGTGCATCCTACACAGGGAGGGCCGAGAGGATCTCCTGGTAGCTCCTTTTCCTTCTATATAAGGGTTGGGGTTAGAAAAAGCTTCCTCCAATCTGCTGCCGTTCAGATGTGCTGGACTACAGCTTCACCATTCCCAGCCAGTATGGCCAATGGTTCCCAAGTGGTCAGCAAGAAAATAAAAATCCAAACACAAGTTTAAATATTTTAAATCATTGTACTGATAAACAAGATTTTCCTGATCAACCAGAAACTATTTTAACTATGTCTTCAGCAGGTCTCAGGAACAAAGCAATGTATGGCCTGGATTCAGGAGGCAGGGAGTTCCACCAAGTGGGAGCCAACACACTGAAGGCCATGCTCCAGGAGGACTCCAATGTGACCTAGGGCCAGGTGAAACCATTAGGAGCATCTCATGTGATGAAATCCCTGCCTAGGCGGTTAGAGGACCAGGTGCTTTTTGATAGCCTGCTCCCAAGTTGTTTAGACTTTGTGCACCAAAAATGGAACCTTAAACCTGGCCCAGTAGCAAACAACCCCTGCAGTTCCCTGACCATTAACAAAAGTGTTAAATGTGGTCAAAGGGAAGTGTCCAGTCTAGGGAGGCTTTTGTTTTGTAAAACATGTACAGGCCTCCGTTGGAATTAATTCTTTGGAGCAGAAGGAAGGGCCTTCGGCTGTTTCAGCCAAGTGCGGTGCAGCAGCACAAGTGTGAATGCCCCCAGGAAGCCTCATTGCCCAGCAGGGACGTGCTGAGCTGTTCCAAGGAAGAGCCCTGCAGGGCTGCTGCTAGCATCTGGCTCCTCCACTCCTCGGCCTCTCTTGCCTGCAGCCAGATAAGACTAGCCTTTTGCATCCTTAGTGGGTTCCCCAGGGCAGTCCTAGTAATAGAGGATCCCAGTTATTAACTGGCTGCATGAGTCCCCCATGGAGGAAATCTGCAAGAGGTGGCACCCCCACCTCAATCGGGGCATCCTCGCTCCACCTGCTGTGGCCTAAGACATGTCTGATTGCTGGGAAGGCTGGTTGACACTTCCAGCCCAGAGACCCTTAAAACAGGAAGGCTGCAGGAACAGCTCTCCTAGCAAATGGGGTGTGCAAGCATGTTTGTGCAGGGTGGGGTATCGCATTCCACTCAAAGCACTGCCCAGGGCTGTGGTCTGAATGTCCTCAATGCAGCCGCATTCCAGTCGGTGCCTGGTTGGAAAAAATGGTCTGGATTCCTTATGAGCTCTGTGACTGAAGCGAAACAAGAAGACATGCCTTAAGGTTGGCTGGGTCAGGCTAGAATTTGGAGTTCCACACATTTGCAGGGCCCTAGGTTAGAAACATATGTAGACGTATAGAAACAGCGTGAGTCAGAAGGGGTCTCCCGGGCCATCTAGTCTGACCTCTGGCTCCAGCCGGCTCCACTCACGACATGCCCACCATGGGCATGTCTACCCTATCCTTGAACACCCTCACCGATGGGGCCTCTATGACCTCCCATGGAAGCCCATTCCTCACCCTCGGAGTCCTGACTGTCAGGAAGCGCTTCCTGGCATCCAAATTGAGCCTTGGTTCCCTGAGCTTTGCTCCGTTTGCTCCTGCCTTCCTCTGCAGGGGAGAACAGGTCTCTGCCCACCTCTGTGCGACACCCCTTCACGTACCTATATTTTGCCAACAGATCCCCTCGGAGCCTCTTTCAGGCTGAAAAGACCCAGTTCCCTCAGTCCCGCCTCGTACGGCATCCCCTGCAAACCAGTCACCAACCTTGTGGCCCTGCGCTGCACTGACTCCAACCTGGCCATATCCTTCCTGTAATAAGTGGTCCAAAACTGAGGCTCCTCCTATTGTAAGTCCCTTATGTTTGCAAAGAGGGCTTTAATTAACCTCTGGGGAAATGGAGGTGGCTAAGCTCTTGCAGAGCTTGGCCCAGTTGGTTCTTGGGCCACTTGGGCAAATGCAGCAACTGAACCCTTGAATCTCTGCATGAAACCAGAGGTGATTTAAGTAGCAGTGGCTCTCCAAGGTTACGGTGGTAGGGAGAGGTCCTTCCTAGCCTGTCCGGAGTTGTTGGGGTTATCACCTGCCACCCTTAGCTTCCCAGCACTCACCTCTGAGATTATTTAAACCCATTCCTTTAATCCCATCAGTTGGCAGTCTCCCAGATGGAATAGCTTTGTTGACGGAGAAGGCCTCCCTCGGCAAGGCAGAACCAGGGACAAAGTAGGTTCTAGGAGGTCTTTTGTGAACAGGGACAGGCTGTGGTCCCACAGCCCCATGTCCCCCTCCAGTGCCACAATGCACAACAGAGGCTTGATGTGTCACTCCGTTCTCCCAGATTAGCAGGCTGATGATGTCCCCTCCCCTCTTGCCCTGGCTGGTGGCCCTGTGGCCTCCCTGTGCCTCATTTCCTGCCCACTATGAACCAGAAGGACAAGGCTGGTGCAAGACAAAGGGCTGTGGTGCTTTGGGGAGCAATTCCTTCTTGCAAGGTATGTGGAAACATTGCCTCAGGGAAATCTGTTCCCCTGTTCATTCCCAAGTGGGTGTCCCCAAACTGAGGTCGCTTCATGTGCTGAACGGGAGCTTCCTTCATCCCAAGCCAATGTTGCCTGTCTTGAAACTTGACACCACGGGATAATGCAGTTGGTTTTTCAGTCAAGCAAGAACTGAAAAATGTCTGCCTCCCCGCTTTCTCTGCACTAGGCCTAATTTTATACACCCCTTTAGGATTTCCTTGTGCTGCAAAGGCCTTTTCCCTCTTAAGCAAAGCAGCTCCAACATTGTAACCTTTCTCAGTGCAGGACTTGAAGTTAAAGCATCAGGTTAAACACTTGGCAGGATTCCGACCTAAAGCTTCTTATGGAAGTTGCTCCAGTGAGATGGAGAATCTGGCTGCAATGTGGCCACTTGCTTGCTGTTTGGTGACCTTTGTTTTCGTTGGCACTCGCTAAAGGTCTTGTCCTTTTTGTCAGAGTTGTCATCCTAAGAGAGATCTGCAAATTAACAGCCTAAGAAATTTGGTGCTAGATATTCAGCAGGATTTGGATGTGGTCAGTATGGTCATTTGGGGGTTCAACCCTTCTCTTATCCTTTCTCTGCAGCTAGACATGTGCTCAATCAGCCAATATTCCCCTGGACTATCTTTATTTGTTCTTGTCTTGGCTTTTCTTCTCTTGCAAGGAACCCAAGCGGCTTACATGAACCTCCTCCTCCATTTTATTTTCATGAAAATCCCGTGAGGTAGGTTGTTCGGTCGGGTCCTGTCCAACACTCTGCTATACCTCCCTGGATCTTCGGGTATACTTCTCTGCCACCTACTGCATCGGACTGTGAGATCCCCTCCTGAGCTCGGCTTATCTTCAGACCCATTCTATGGGGAATGTTCCCTGCAGTCTTCCTCACAGGGTTAGTGCACAGAATGGGAAAGTGCTGCTTGCATCAAGCTTGGGAAGGTCTCAGAGGCTCCGGATATGGGATCCGTGTGGTGGCTGGGTGCTTTGCCTGTTTCATGTGCACACCATCCTGAGTAAGGCCAGTTGTAGATTCCTCAGGGCATGTGGAGAAAGGAGGATCCTGCACATGATCAGGGGCTTCCTTAGCTTCACTTGCATGGTACTCAAGTGTAGTGTAGTGTTTTTTGGCTCTGGCCTTTTGGCAAAGCAGCGGAGGCAGAGGCTGGGAGCGAGTGCTGAGTGGCCAGGGGACGGGCGAGGGCAAGGCAGGGGCTGGGCGGGGGAGCAGGGCAGGAGCAGCGGAGAGGAGGGGGCGGGGCCAGAGGGGCCAGAGGGGCCAGGAGGGAGCGGACAGGCAGGAGCCAGTGCTGAGTGGCCAGGGGACGGGCGAGGGCAAGGCAGGGGCTGGGCGGGGGAGCAGGGCAGGAGCAGCGGAGAGGAGGGGGCAGGGCCAGAGGGGCTAGAGGGGCCAGGAGGGAGCCGACAGGCGGGAGCGAATGCTGAGTGGCCAGGGGACGGGCGAAGGCAAGGCAGGGGCTGGGCAGGGGAGCAGGGCAGGAGCAGCGGAGAGGAGGGGGGCGGGGCCAGAGGGGCTAGAGGGGCCAGCAGGGAACAGACAGGCAGGAGCCAGTGCTGAGTGGCCAGGGGCCTGGCGAAGGCAAGGGAGGGGCTGGGCGGGGGAGCGGGGCAGGAGCAGCGGAGAGGAGGGGGCGGGGCCAGAGGGGCTAGAGGGGCCAGGAGGGAGCCGACAGGCAGGAGCCAGTGCTGAGTGGCCAGGGGACTGGCGAGGGCAAGGGAGGGGCTGGGCGGGGGAGCGGGGCAGGGGTAGCGGAGAGGAGGGGGGTGGGGCCAGAGGGGCCAGGAGGGAGCAGGGGCGGGGCCACCGGCCGGAGGGGCTTATAAGGCATCGTCCCTTAGCTGCAGCCCGGGCTGCCCAGGGACTCCCTTCCCTGGGGGTAGCCCCCCCCCCATTTAAATTAGTATTTCATCCTTGCGTGGGAGTTTGGGAGAACTGGGCGAGTGAAGGGTAGTGCAGGACGGACAAGGCGGGGGACCGAGGCAGGGCCTCTGAGGGGTTCCCAGTGGCAGGCCAGGAGATGGCCTTGGCGGGAGTCACGGGTCTTTCTGCCGCTGCGGCAGCTGCGACATGTTCGCCCAGGAGAGGCAGGGCTACACTCGCCCTCGGTGCAAGCTGGTGGTCTGCTGGAGGAGGAGGTGAGCTGCCTGAGGGCCGAGAGCTCTCCAGGCCCCCGGGAGCAGCCCCCCTCTGGACAAGGGTCGAGGGAGAGGCCACCGGAGGAGCAGCTGCGGAGACATGGAGGCATGTCACCCACAGGAGGAGGGGGCCAGCACAGCCTCCTCCTTCCCTGGCGCTGATCTGGAGCTGGGAAGCAGGCTCTCTCCACCTGGGGAGGCTGGGGCTGATGAGGCCTCGGGGGATCAGCCTGGGACCACATGCGGCCAGGGAGCCTCTGCAGGGGAGGCGAGGGCCAGGGCACGGCTGCCCACCACCACGAGGAAGACGCGGTGGCGGGTGATTGTTGTTGGGGACTCCCTGCTGAGGGGCACTAGGTGGTGGTGTGCTGCCCCGACCCCGAGGCGAGGGAGGTCTGCTGCCTGCCGGGCACGCGCATCCGGCTGTGAAGGACAGAGTGGAGCGCCTCGTTCCCTCTGGGGGTCACCAGCCTCTCCTGGTGATCCATGTGGGCACAAACGACGTGGCCAGGCAGGGTCTGGTTGGGACCACCAGGGACTTCGAGGCCTTGGGGAAGGAACTCAGGGAGCTCAAGGCCCCAGTGTCCTTCTCATCTATTTAACCGGCCCAGGCATTTGGGCCAGGCAGGGACAGGAGGGCCTCCGAGGGGAACGACTGGCTTAGGGTGTGGAGCCAGAAGGAACGATTTGGGTTCCTTGACTACGGCACCCGGTTTCTTGCCAATGGACTTCTGGCCAGGGATGGGTTGCACCTCACAAGGATGGGGAAAAGGTCCTTTGGAGATGCTCTAGTGAGTTTACCTGGATTTCAGCAAGGCCTTTGACAAAGTGCCCCATGATATCCTGGTGGAGAAACTGAGGAGTTTTGGGATAGACCAAAGTACTGGGTGTCATAAGTACAGATTAGGGGACAAGTGGCTGGAGAGCAGCACTTGTGAAAGGGACCTCAGGGTGCAGGTTGACTGCAGGCTGAACATGAGCCAGCAGTGTGATGCGGTGGCCAAGAGGGCGAACGCCACCCTTGGTTGCATAGCCAGAAGTGTGGCTTCTAGATCGAGAGGGGTATTACTACCACTCTACACGACTCTGGTGCACCCGCAACTGGAGTATTGTGCTCAATTCTGGGCCCCTCATTATAGAAAAGTTGGAGTCAGTGCAGCACAGGGCCACAAGGTTGGTGGCCGGTTTGCAGGGGAAGCGGTATGAGGCGAGACTGAGGGAACCGGGTCTCTTCAGCCTGGAGAAGAGGAGACTCAGAGGGGATCTGTTGGTGACATACAGGCATGTGAGGGGGTGTCACACGGAGGTGGGCAAAGACCTGTTCTCCCCTGCAGAGGAGGGCAGGACATGCTCCAACGGAGCAAAGCTCAGGGAGCCAAGGTTCAACTTGGATGCCAGGAAGCACTTCCTGACAGTCAGGACCCCGAGGGTGTGGAATGGGCTTCCCTGGGAGGTGGTTGAGGCCCCATCGGTGCGGGTGTTCAAGGATAGGCTGGACGTGCACATGGTGGGCATGTCGTGAGCGGAGCCGGCTGGAGTCGGGGGTCAGACTAGATGGCCCAGGAGAACCCTTCTGACTCACACTGTTTCTATGTTAAGAGCGGAGGGCTGGAACTCGGGCGATCTGGGGTCTAGTCCCTACTCAGCCATGGAGCTCATGGGGTGACTTTGGGCCAGTCACCTAGTCTCAGCCTAGCCTACCTCACAGAATTGTGAGGAAAAGCTAGAGAGGAAGAGAGGTAAGCAAGCCACCTTGAGTTCCTTGGAAGGAAAAACAGTGGGGTAGAAGATAAATTAAGAATAAATAAAACAATTGCACTCTTGGGCAAGACCTTTTCCCATTTCTCTTTGGGGGAAGGGTCTCCACGGCTGGATTTGCAGGGGCTTCCTGCACTCAAGTCAGGACAGGTCTAGGGCAAAGCAGCCAGGAAAGCTCCCTCCACCCCACACCCCTGCGAGAGGAGAGGGGGAGAGAGAGGGAGGGAGGAAGATAATGGGCGGCAGGAATAATAAAAGAAGAAGAAAGCCGTGAAGGGTACCAGAGAAGGGGGAGGAAAGGAAGGGAAGGGAAAAAGAATGAATGGGCGAAGCTGGCTAAGGCAGGGGGCCTAAGCAAGCACCTCCCCGTCCCGCCGCGTGTCGGCGACGTTCACACGTGACGCGCCTGCCTGCCTCCGCGTTCCCGTCCGACGCAGCAGCGGCGGCGGCGGCGGCGGCGGCACAGCATCCGCGGCTCGCTCTCTGTCCGCGGCCAGCCGGCCGCCGCTGCGTCGCCTCCTCCCGCGTCGTGCGATGGCTGCTTGGCGGAGGCTCCGCGGCTCCGGGTCGGGCTGAAGCAGGTGAGGGCGCGCGCCGGGCGCCGGTTTCCCGGCGGAAGCCCCGGAGGGAGCAAGGCCTCCTCGGGACCCCGCGGAGGAGCGCGGCCCCGGCAGGCGCGCCTGGCGCAGGGGCCTGCCGGCCGGCCGGCGAGACCTCTCCCCGCCCGCGCTGCACCCCCTTTGGGCTGCACCCGCCGCGGCTTCTCCAGAAACCCCCGGCGACCGCAGGGTCGCTGCTCCGCGCCCGACGGAGGCCGCGGGGCGCCTGTGCGCGCGTCCAGCCCCGCGCCCGCAGCCGGCGTCGCCCGCCTCGAGCCCAGCGCTCTGCCCGGCGGGCGGGCAGCAGCCGCCTCCCTCGCCGCGCACGCCCCGGGCGCGCAGAGGCTGCCTTCCTCGGCAGGTCGCTCTCCAGCGGGAGCTCTGCTAGTCGGGCAGGGGGCGGCGATTCGCCCGGGAAGCCCACCCGCTGGTCACGACAGCCCTGCCAGGCTGACGTCCCCGGGCTCTGCTGTCCCTGCTGAGGATCATCCTTGCACAGGGCGCCTCCTGCTGAGCCGCAAGGGGAGGCGCAGTGCTTGTGTTCACCCTTCACATTTCCTTCCTCACCTTTCGCTAGTGTCCATCACCATGTCTTGTAACAGGGAGTTCCACTGGTTAGTTCTGGCGGGGAGGGGGCAGAGAAGCTGCGCTTCCCGGGTTCAAAACTGTGCATGTGTTGCAGAGAGGTGTCTGCCTAACCCACTCACGATGCATGCTCACCTTTTAATCCGTGGGTCTGGCTCTTAAATACATGTGTGGGAGTGACCCCTGTGGATGTTCTTGCACTCCGGAAACCGTGCCCCTTCCACCAGTGCAAGTTGATCAGGGCCTACCCTTCTTACCTGTATTTCTACAATACTGTATTGTGTGAGCCGTCCCGAGGCTATATAGCAAGGGGACGGCATACAAAAACTTTAAATAAATAAATAGTACCCTAACAGGGAGCCCTCCAGAAATATTACAGCTCCCATCATTCCCAAGCAGAGATAATCTTCTTGCTTCTAGGTTTCCTGGTTTCCAGAAGCCTGGTTTCCAAAAAGTGGCTGGTTGGGGGCAAAGTGTGTATGTCGTAGCCTGAAAATCCAGGGCAGATTGGCCAGCGGAGGCTGGGCCCTATGCAGGAGAGCCCTGGGAACCCACACAATGGGGGGGGGGGAAGCATCCAACCAGTCTCTCGTGTCCCTATCAGTGCATGCATATTTGCATATATGTGTGTGTGCGTGTGTGCATGCACATGCACACAGAGTGGTGAACGCTTTGCAAAAAATCAAATGCCTGGAAGCCAAAGAACGACCCGGCACTTGGGGAGGTGGCAGGACCACTGCCTGTGCCAGTCCGGTGTGGCAGTTGCACAGAGGCAGTTCCATGGGCTAAGTGTCCCGTTCCACACCCTGGGGGTCCTGACTGTCAGGAAGTGCTTCCTGGCATCCAAATGGAACCTGGGTTCCCTGAGCTTCGCGTTGGAGCGCGTCCTGCCCTCCTCTGCAGCAATTCTTTAATGTTTCTACACATTTCAGAAAGATGGGCTTTAGTCTAGCTGTTTGATGGGAGACCCTCAAACAGGACAGGAGTGCAGCCAGGATTCAGAGAGAGACCCGCCTGTGTGCCCTTCAGGACTGGTGGCCATTGCGGGACCCTCCTGAATGTCCTCCTCTTCATTGCCCTTCTCCATGAATTTGCCCAAGCCCTTTTTAAACCTCTCCAAACTGGAGGCCAGAGTGACAGCTTGTGGCAGTGAATTCCACTGTTTAGCTCTGCTGTTGGAAGGGTTTCTAATCTTTCTCTCAGTCTCTTTCAGTTTACCAGATGACACTGGTGGGTCTTTGTGGGGTAGGGAAGAGAGAAAATGCCTCCCTTTGCCCTCTGCACCCATTTGCCCTTTTTAATAAAATGAGAAGCTTGCAATCGTCCCATGTAGGAGAGTTTCCCCAGCACCTTGGTTACTTTTGGGAGCCTTTTTCTGAGTTGGGGTCTCTGGAACTGTTCAGTTAAATACCACCTGCTTGGGGGAGGTTCCTGGCAGTCCTTCCATGGTGAAAATAGGTGGTTTATTAAAGTGGCCCTGGATTGCTGTCAAAAGCAGAAGAGGCCAGGAAGACAAGCCTTTCTCTAGAACAAGGCAAAATGCCAACTTTCAAGGCACAGATTACAAGATTCATCATGTCTGCCCTCTTGGAGCCTCATTCCTTAACACCAACAAGGACTCACTGTAATGACTCTGCATATACTCAGGGGCATCTCATTCACTGGAGCAATTTGGAGCCATGGCAAAGTGATGGTTCAACTGAGAACTAACTTGATCTACTTTTCTCCTGACTCTGCTTGCTTCTTACTTTTTGAACTCTTCCTTTCTGTTTTCTTTCTCAAATGTTATATCAACAGGTCCATGCGGGAAAAGCAGATGATATTTTAGTAAGCGCCTAGAGGTTACGTTCTCACTTCCAGAAATCTGTTGGCTGTTGCTTGATTTCCAAAATGTCCCAAGAGGGTAAAGCCCTCAGAGCAAACAAACTCTTTTCAATAATTAAGTGGTGCTTTGCTGAACAGGATTGCAGATTTGCTTCAGGCCTGGTGTGGGGAACTGGTGCATTGCCATCCCAGTTGGAAGCATGGCCTGATTCAGCCCCATGAATGGCAGAGCTCCATTGCACCGGGGCAGGCTCTTCTCCTGGCATGTGCTCTCTGTTGACCGCAGAGCATCTCTGGGGGAAGATCTTCCTTTATTCTCCTTTTTTAACCCCATCATTCTGCTCAGTCGGCTCTCTAGGCCTCTGAAATGGACAGCAGTTTTCCCACAGAGGAGGTTTTTTTTAATGGGAGCTTAAATATCAGACCTTCCATGGGTTAGGAATCTGCTTTGGGATCGCTCTCCTTTCCTGGATAGAGACCTTCAGTGGCTTAAATCCACTTTGCTGTCCACAGGGTGGCAAGCTGGGCTAATTTGCTACCTCTGTGTAATGGGGAGGGGATTGGGGCCATCCCTGCCAGATGGAAGAAGCTAATCTCAATCCATAATGGCTCCACTGAGGCCTGTTCGCTTGCAACTTGCCAGAGCTTCTTGGGCTGCATTTATATGGACCTATTCAGGTTTGTCCCACTATGAGCTTTGCTGCCAGAATAGGCCCAGTGGGGAAGGGAATTGGGCTCATTCAGTTTGCCTGTCCAGTGGAGTTCACCCATAGCTTGAGCTCTTATTCCTGCCAGGACATCCCTAGATCTTCAGGGATATGGTGGCTAAAGCCCATCTCCAGTCTTCGAACTGTAACATCTTCGGTTCTCTACCTGCTGACTGTTGCATAGGCAGATTATAGGAGACTGTATAAGCAGGAGAAGGAAGACTATTATGTTTGTTTGTTCATTTAGATTTATATATACTGCCCCATTCCCCTAAGATCTGGGTGGTTTACAAGAGATTAAAACCAGCAATAAAAATCTTGATTAAAACCAGCACATTAAATGGAACTAATCCAGGAACTAATCTTGAAAGGCCGGTTGGAAGAGATACGTCTTTAACTCCCTCTTGAAGGTGACAGTCTGGGATACACGATGCCTCTCTCCCCACAGGCCATTCCAGGGCTTAGGAGCAACCACTGAGAAAGTCCTCTGGGTAGTTTCCTTAATTTTACAGAAGCAGATTTCAGAAGATTTTTCCAATTATGGATCAGGAGATGCTGACACCTGTTTTCCAGGGATCTACCATGCTGTTTCCCAGCTACAGCCCCATTTCCCAGGGGAGCAAATGAATCCTGCCGTTGGTTGTTTGCCAAAACTGGTTTGGGATGCAGGCCAAACTCCCAGCAGGCCCGGTTTGGCTCTGCAGGAATGGTTTTGTGGGTAAGACCAGGGTGACCATATGGTTGCCTCGCAGTAGCGTCCAGAAATAGAGCACGCTGATCCTATTAGGGGATGTCCACCTGAGCAGTGAAACAAAGCCTGCGTCCTGCTTCTGCCGAGACCAAGTTGCTGGCGAGAGGGCAGAGAACCAGCCAGCGCTGTGCAGAGATAACTGCACCAGCTCTGAGTGTTCAGCATCAGTGCCAGAGGGTTTGGCCTGTGGAATTGAAGGGCTTTTGAGTACTGTGGCAGAGGAGGCTGGCGCTGTGGTGCCACACGAGCGCTGGGAGGGGACAGGAAGGCCACATTTCAGACGTGGAGGCTGGGAGAGAGCTATGTGGTGGAAGGCGAGGCGTGATCGCAATTAGGACAGAGCAGCCTCACGTATCGTTTAGGGAAGGCAGAGGGCTTTGCTAATAAATCTTGGAAGCCACTTTTAGTTTGGTAGATAGGAGGGTAGGGACCAGGACCACCAAGGTGGTGTTTTCTGGAACGACACTTGTTCCATGCACATGGCCCACTAGGCAGGCTCAGCTGAGGAGTCTCACTGCGTGGATAAGATGGAGGGGAGGGGCTCACATTTGCTGGAGAACATTTTGGGGCAAACTGAGCTTGTACAAGCAGGATGGGCTCCAGCTGAACCATAACAGAACCAGGCTGCTGGCACAAAGCATTAAAATTATTATTATTATAGAAACATAGAAACAGAGCGAGCCAGAAGGGGTCTCCCAGGCCATCTAGTCTGACCCCCGGCTCCAGCCGGCTCCGCTCACGACATGCCCACCATGGGCATGTCCAGCCTATCTTTGAACACCCTCACCGATGGGGCCTCAACCACCTCCCGTAGGAGCCCATTCCACACCCTTGGGGTCCTAACTGTCAGGAAGTGCTTTCTGGTATCTAAATGGAACCTGGGTTCCCTGAGCTTTGCTCCGTTGGAGCACATCCTGCCTTCCTCTGCAGGGGAGAACAGGTCTCTGCTCACCTCCATGTGAAATCCCCTCACATACCTGTATGCCGCCAACAGATCCCCTCTGAGTCTCCTCTTCTCCAGGCTGAAGAGACCCAGTTCCCTCAGTCTCGCCTCATACCCCGTCCCCTGCAAACTGGCCACCAACCTTGTGGCCCTTCGCTGCACTGACTCCAACCTGGCTATATCCTTCCTGTAACGAGGGGCCCAAAACTGTACACAATACTCCAGTTGTGGGCGCACCAGAGTCGTACAGAGCGGTACTAATACCCCTCTCGATCTAAAAGTCACACTTCTGGCTATGCAACCAAGGGTGGCGTTCGTCCTCTTGACCACCGCATCACACGGCTGACTCATGTTCAGCCTGCAGGCGACCAGCACCCCGAGGTCCTTTTCACAAGTGCTGCTCTCCAGCCACTTGTCCCCTAATCTGTACTTATGACACCCATTCCTATGCCGCAAGTGGGAGACCTTGCACTTATCCACACTGAACGCCATCCTGTTGTCTCCTGCCCACTTCCATAGTCTGTCCAGATCCTTTGGATCTGGAGTACCTGCTCCTCAGTCATGGCCACTGCTCCAGTTTTAGTGTTGTCTGCGAATTTGATCAGCAGACTGTTCACCCCTTCTTCCATGTCCTTGATGAAAAGATTAAACAGGATCAGCTCCAGAACAGAGCCCTGGGGGACCCCTCTTGTCACTGGCCGCCATCCCGATGATTCCCCACTAATGGTTACCTTCTGCTTTCAGTCATTCAACCATGCCCTAATCCACCGGACTTTGCTTTGGTGTATCCCAAAACTGCTCAGTTTCTCCACCAGGATATCATGGGGCACTTTATCAAAGGCCTTGCTGAAATCCAGGTAAACCACATCCACTGCATCCTCTCCATCCAGCCATCTCGAAACCTTGTCACAGAATTCCACCAGGTTTGTCTGGCAGGACCTGTTTTGCAGAAGCCGTGTTGTGTGGCTGCCAGCCTCCCTTCCCTATCCAGCATTACTAGATCTCTCTCTATTAGGAGCCTTTCCAGTGTTTTTCCTACGATGGATGTAAGGCTAACTGGTCTGTAATTCCCCATGTCCCTTCTACTACCCTTTTTGAAAATTGGGACCACTGACGCCACCCTCCAGTCCTCTGGAATTTCACCCGTTCTCCACGAGGCCTCAAACATGGAGGCCAGCGGGCGTGAGGGAACCCCTGCCAACTCTCTAAGTACTCTCGGGTGTAACCCGTCAGGGCCTGACGCCTTTGTAATGTCCAATGCCCTGAGGAGCCCCTTGACTCCTAGGGGGGTGACTCTAATCTGTGCCCCTAAGTCCCCAGCCTCATCTAATCTCCAATGCGGATCTCCCCCGTCCTGCTTTGGGGAGAACACAGAGGCAAAATAGTCATTTAGCCTCTGTGCCTGTTCCCTCATATCAGTCACTGGATCTCCTTCCTCCTCCTTTAGTGGTCCCACCACTTGTCTCCCCTTCCTCTTCCTTTTTACATGCTGAAAGAAGCCCTTTTTGTTGCTCTTGATATTCTTGGCAAGTCTCAGCTTGTAATCAGCCTGAGCCTTGCGAAGAATCCTTTACTATTTTATTAAAAGCTTTTATATGCCATCCTATCATATAAAAATCTCAGGAAGGCTTACAATGCTCTAAAAGGACAATTTAAAAGACAACAATTTCCAAAAAATGAATTGGGTACAAAGCAGCTTTTAAACCAAATCCTGCTAAGGGAAAGTTGACAGGAGCTGGGAAGACTCCAGTTTGACTGAGATCATCCTTAGGGGATGAAGGGGGAAAAGTTTCTTACTACTCAAATGTAGGTGGGAGAGAAACCATAGAAACATAGAACAGTGGTGCTGGAAGGGGCCAAGAAAGCCGTCCTTCTGCTATTGCAGGACACCAGTTCACACCATCCCACTCAGATGACCATCCAGTTTTGTTTTGATTGTCTCTAGTGTGGGAGAGCCCATTTATTCCAGAATAAGCCAATTGACATCAGGTTTGGCAGTGGTCAGTGGTAGTTAGGCTTTTTCAGAAACCCGCTTGTCCTGGATGATTCTGTTCCTCAGCCACCCAGTCTTCCAGTCTTGACAGTGGAAATATGCTCTGAAGTTTTGCCAATATGGCCAATAAATATATAGATCTGTAATTTTGTGGGCCTGTTCTTCCTCCTGTTTTATAAATGGGTACTGGGATACTCAGCTTCCATCTGGGAAAGATCTGACTGTTTCATTAATCAGTGAGAACAATCTAGCCAGAACTGGGCTGACCACTCAGGGAAGGTCTGGAGGCAGCACCTCCCCTCCCGGAGATTTACCGGATTTCACAGAGTCCTCTGATTTCAGACACAGAACCTGGCAGTCTTTCCGGTAACCAGTGATTTTTTTGTAAAAAGAAAAAACTGTGCCGGAACTCACGTCCCTGCCGGCAGCAGGCACACATACCAATCCCAAGCCGAGCAGGGAGCAGCGTCCCAAGCAGCTATGTCTAACTATCAGATAGCAGATAGTAGACACAATAGGTGCTCACCCTGTTGCTGTTCATTAGTCCCTTCCAATAGAGGGGCTTGAGACCCACAAAATGGCTAAAGTGTGAAAACCAAATGAGGGCTGTTTCTGCTATTTCCAAACGCAGGGTTTTTGTTTTGTTTTTTTTTTAGATGTTACATTCATTGTTAAATCAGCGATTTTGGGCGTGGATTATCCATTTTATAGGCCTGTTCTTTGTAAGTAGAAGCTTCAAATAACTTACTCTCATCGAACGCATCTCGTTTGGGAGCATCAGGTGTGATAAGAGTGGCTCTCAAGCAGCTCAATTGCAGGCTTGACCAAGTGTGGGCTGCTATCGAGTGTATTTTGTCAGGCCAGCGAGGACATCCTCTTCGACATCTGCAGCAGGTTTCATCACAACATCAGTGTTAATGTTCAGAGATAAGTGCTGCAGGCCAGTGCTAACGCAAAGGGAGGTTCAGGTAACCAGAGTCATCAGAGCGGGTGAAACGGCTGTGCAATCTACTTAGCCAGTCCTGCCAGTAGCTACATAGGTAAATATCCCAAATGGGACTGCTATACTGGTATCAGTTTAACCAGAGTGGTATTAGCAAAAGTTATAAATGCAACCCACATTTCCATGAACTGGACCTTTTTAATTGTTCCTACAATTTTACCTTTGCTGCATGAACTTTTCAACTAAAGCTTGTGTCCAAATGTTGGGACATTCATCCATTGCATGTCCCTGACTTCTGTCCCAACGCTAGGCCATTTCCGTCTTGATGCTACTTCCAGAGGCAAGAGAGTCAGAACTGGAGGGACACAGTGCTAGGGCTATTATCAGCAGGAATGCCAACATCACCTGCGACCCTCTCAAACTGTTTGGTCCCCTCTGAATTGAACTTCAAACCTCACAGTAGCTAGGAGGGGACAGACTTTCCCAATGACAATAGATTTTTCCCTGCTGCAATGCTTGTTCTGGAATTGAGACCCATCCGCTTTGCACGAAATCCTGTTGCTGGCGGAGATTTGTTGCTATGCATCTGCCTGGTTTCCAGAATGCTGCTAGTCCCTGCCTCCAGGATTGCCCATGGGGAAGGGGGGGGGTGTCCATCAGGGCTGCATGAAGTGAAGGGCCAGATGATGGCCTCACTTTTCCCCACCTCACTTTTCAGTTTCATAGTTGCTGGTGGTGGTGGTGGTGAGGGCTAGCCTCTTAAAGACAACAACAATTTTATCAAGTTTTAAATTGCTCATTTTCAATAAAATCAACAAATATGCTGAAAAAGTTTACCTTTAAACTGGCAGGCTTATGTCTTACATTAAAATCCAATTTCAAGTAACAGACACTGCAGGAAGGTCGATATATCGATCTAATTATATTCATGCACAGAAATTCGCCAGGGGTTTAAGAGTCAGTTGCGATTATCCAGATGTGGCTTCCCATGTCTGCCCCGGCACGCCACTCTTCCCTGGGGAATGTTGCTTGTTAGCCCAGGAAGCCAGTGCATGCATGAGGAGCTTCTCAGCCACTGACCGTGTTCCCCTCTCCCCCTTCTCCTCCCCAGGTGCGACAGGTGTGCTCCAACCCGTCAAGATGCCCGAGCAAAGCAACGACTACCGGGTGGTGGTTTTTGGCGCTGGGGGTGTGGGGAAGAGCTCCTTGGTGCTGCGCTTCGTGAAGGGCACCTTCCGCGACACCTACATCCCCACCATCGAGGACACCTACCGGCAGGTCATCAGCTGCGACAAGAGCGTCTGCACCCTGCAGATCACCGACACGACCGGCAGCCACCAGTTCCCAGCCATGCAGCGCCTGTCAATCTCCAAGGGCCACGCCTTCATCCTCGTCTTCTCCGTCACCAGCAAGCAGTCGCTGGAGGAGCTCAAGCCCATCTACCAGCAGATCGTCCAGATCAAGGGCAGTGTGGAGAGCATCCCCATCATGCTGGTGGGCAACAAGTGCGACGAGACCCAGCGGGAGGTGGAGACCGGGCAAGGGGAGGCCGTGGCCAAGGAGTGGAAGTGCTCCTTCATGGAGACGTCGGCCAAGATGAACTACAATGTCAAGGAGCTCTTCCAGGAGCTGCTCAACCTGGAGAAGCGTCGCAACATGAGCCTCAACATCGACGGCAAGCGTTCCAACAAGCAGAAGCGGGCAGACAAAATCAAGGGGAAGTGCAGCTTGATGTGAGGCCGTGCGGCCCCTCACCACTCGCCCTCCTCGTGGTTGTCCTGTCCGCCACCCTTCCTCTCGCGCCTCCCTCGGCATCTCGGCACTGAAGCGGCACTCGGGGCTTCGCGGCCTCTCCTCCATTTCAGCTCGGCTCCTTCCACTCGGCAGGGGGGCTACTTCACATCACATCACGTGGGAACAGCCCTCCCGGACCCCCCCTCCAAGTGGAGGGGTGGCGAAAACTCCCCCATGTCCCTTCCTGCTCTCACCCTCGAACTCTTCCAGCAGGACAGAAGAAACGGGGGCTCAGGGTCGCGCTCGGCAGTGACGCTTCCCTGGCCGGCCTGTGGACCTGAGGCACGCGCTCGGCGGGAGGACCCAGTGAAGGATCCGACCGAGGAGAGAACTGGCTCTTCTCCAGCGCTGGCGCTCACGTGGGCGGCTCCCGTCTCCTCTGAAGCACCTGCTGCACACGGCACAACCAGAAGAGTGCACAGCTCCTCCGTCTCCACCTGGCTTGTCCCCGTCGCCCCTCCCGGGCCTGTCCTGGACTTGTTTGGAGAGGCAGCACGAAGCGGGGGCTGGCATCACACCGGTGCCGGTGAGCGGAGCTTGCACCTTGCCACCCCGGCTTCGAGGGCCAGAGTCCCGGCGAAGGGGGCACCCACCCAGCCCGCAAAAACACGGTGATGGCAGCAACACTGCCCTGGCCAGGACCACCCCCCTTGCGCCCACACATGGGGCCGAGACAAGCCCCTTCGTTTGTCTGGCTGCTCGGGGGGGGGGGGGCACACCCCGGAAGGCTGCTGAGAGCAGGGACTGCCCTTGGGAATGCCACATTTCCCGGCCTGGGAATGACTGGTCCTCCCTGCTGGCTGCCACACTGGGCAAAGAGCTTGGGAGACAAAGCCATGCCCCAGCTGAAAGGGGGACTGGCCAGTGGCTGGGCTGCCAGGGCTGCTGGGAGGGAAGGGGTGGCCCCACTGCCAAGGGCCAACGGCATGTCCTCACCCCCATGAAGCAGGCAGGAGGGGAGAGGGAGCTGTTGCCTTCCACCCCGTCCCTGCCAACCTGGCTAGCTTTCCTTCCCTCTTGTCCTCATCCTGCCCTTCTAAGTACTCTAGACTTCAAATACTGCAACTCACTGCAAGATCTCTCATTGTATTTATTTTTCATTTAAGGGTTCATTTTTCAAAGTGGCAAAAGTCGAAATGACGGAGCACACACCTAGCCAGTGGGGAGAAAAGGGGAAGGGGCCAGGAGGCAGGTGGGCAGGCCATCTGGAAGCAGTGTCCCCGGGGACATCACACCCTTTTCACTAGGGCAGAAGTGCTTGTGGGCCAGAGACTGGGAGCATTTCCCCCAGGTAGCAGGTACTAATCGCAGCTGTGGACGCAGAGGGAATGGTTGAGGAGAGGGAGAGAAAGACAGGCACTGTGTGTGTGGGGGGGGGCTTTTTGGTTTCTTCACTCTTTCCCCAGCATAGCTGACCAGAAAGAGTAATGAGGACAAGGGGTTGCAAGATTCCCCCCATGACAGGGTGAGGAGTGGGGAAGGCCACCTCCTGCCATTCACTACAAGTGGGTCCCATGTGGCAGAGATTACAGAATCTTAGTTAACTCTCATTAAAAAGACAGACAAACAGACAGACAGACAGACAGACAGACAGACATGGTTCAAGTGGCTAGTCCTCGTGGTTACAAAGGCAGGTTTCATGACATACAAGCTGAGTTGCAAAAGGCTTTGGGATAAGTTGTGTTGGGGAAGGCCTGTGTGCTGCTCATTTGCCTCTGGACCATGTTTTTCTTCCTTCCTATGCTTTGCACCTTCCTTTCCTGGACCCATCACATGCTTATTTTTCATTTTACATTTTTGGCCTAAACCATTATTGGGCACAGGTGAAGAGTGTCATCATGGGCAGCTTTTTGCAAAGGGTCAGTGGAATTTGAATTGCCAAGAGAACTTAAGCAGTGGGTTGCTTCTGATGTTGCTTTTTAATCCACCTGATGTCCTCTTGCAGTGGGGGGCGATGGGACACGTGTCAAGACAGTGGACGTTTGGAATTCCATTTTGGGCCAGGACTGGACAGCAGCAAGCCCTCCGGAGCGAGAGCTGAGCTGGGGCGGTACTTAGCCAGGCCAAAAGAGTGAGCCCACGGCCTCTCTTTGTTAGAGAAGGTTGCCAAAGATGGAGCTGGTTTTTTTTTAAACAAAGCCACCTTGAGCTCGGTGCTGATTGTGTGGATTTTCCTCCTCCTCCTGGGCATGGGAAATGGGGCTGCTGCCTGCCTCAGCCCCCACACTCTCCTCACAGCAAACCGAAGTTATCACTAGCTGACTTCCAGCTCCCAATGGAGCAGCTGAATTTATGCACAATCTGGGGACAAGATGGGCAAATCCACTCAGTGGGGCACCTGAAAGACACCCTGGAAGGGGGAAATCCTTCCTGTGTTTTGGGGTGGGGTGCTTCCAGTTTCCACAGAGAGGAGGATTTGATGACTGGCACATTTTCTGTGTCTGCTGACTCCCCCAGTGCCCATTTCCAGGAGGAGTTTTGTCCGTACTCTTCACCTCTTCTTTGTTTCCTTTGGGATTCAGGACCTCACTGGAGAGATTGATCGCTGGAAGCACAGAACGGGTGCTGAAATAGCTTGGGAACTTTTAATGGCCTTGTGCCTCGGGATGGTGGAGACAGAGTGGGGCTCTCCGTCTCAATGGGTTTGGAAGTTGCATGCTCCTCATAGCGCCCCCGCCCCGCCCCGCCCCGCCATGTAGATAGCAAGGCTGCTGCCCAGTAAAGAAATTTTACACACACATCTGGGAATAAGCCCCGTTAAATGTACTTGGACAAACTTCTGAGTAGACATGGCTAGGATTGCATTTGTTAGTTGACTGACTGCATACATTTTTCTTAATTTTCAATCAACTCAATAGTACTGATGTCTACTTTCAACAACATTTCCTGGGGCAGTTTTCAAAGTTAAAATAAAAGCTTATTAGCTTATTTTAGCTTCAAAAGATAAAAGGTTATCATGAAACCTCAAAGGAAGCTGCACAAAACAGCTTGTGAAGGCACAAGATTCCCATTGATTTTTTCCGGTTCTTGCTCCTAGGTGTGATCAAGCCTTCTCCGGTTTATGGAAAGCTTGTGAATGAGCTGCTGAGACCCCAATTCATTTACCAGTGGGGTTTGATTGATCAGTTGTTGGCTAGCTTGGATTACCTGGGAGTATGAATAGATAGAGGCCTTCCAAAACTGAAAGCAAAGGCTCTGTTCTAGGGCGACTGCAGGTGTCTTAGGAAAAACTCTATTACGTTTTGGGGCAGGGCAGCTTGCCTCCCACATGGGGCTGGAGATGAAGAGGCAGTTTCCTGGAGGAGGTGGAAAAGGCAAGCCTTGCCTTGCCCCTTCTGTGCTGCAGCATAAACCAGCATGTACGAAAAGACAGCAATTAGCACACATTACGCCAGTAATTTCAAAAGTGCCAAGAAGTCAGCTCAGTTCCACAGTTCAGTGTGAATTTGGGCACAGTGTGTGCATGGAGCTGACCACGGGTCACTCAAGTCACAATACTTCTCATGAGGATCCTTCACACTAATTTAGTCACTGTTGCTGCTTCTTCACTGACCACCTCTGTGACTCCTACTCACGCTTGATGAGGACTAGCTTCTCTGTAGATTTATGTCATCCCTTTCCTGCTGGGTTTTTTGCTGGAGAGACTCCATCTGTCTGCATGGGACAGGAGACTGCAAGATCCATTTTTCTGCTGTAGTTGGCCCCTGCTTTGTGATCCAGGGACACCGGAAGGGTCTCTCCACAGGGCCCCTGCTCAGATTTCCTGTCTTGAATCATAAATGGTGCTTCTAAAACTCCAGAGGAATGGAAGCTTTGCATTGTAAATACAGAACCTGTCGTGAATAGATTTCCTCTTGATGCCAGCATGACAATATTAGCTACTGTGCATCACCGGCTTTTTAAGAAGAGAAAGAAAGAAAACAAACACAAACAATATGTAATGAAGCTGAAACAAACACATGGTACAGTGTAGGCATTCTAGAAATAGTCTTCCTTGAATGAATAAAAATGGATTCATCCCTCTTTTGTTCCATGGTAGATCTGGTTCTTTAGTTAAGCCATGTGGGAAAGATGCTTCCAGATCATCTTGTCCTCCAGCTCAGGGCTTCTCTTCCAAGCTTTCCCGAGGCAGCCAGCAAGCTCCACTGCCAAGCAGCCTATAGCCCACCAAAGATATCGTGGTCCCTAAGCTGCTTTCTCCGTAAGAAAGTCTATGTGCAAAACAAGCTCTTTGGCCTCTCCCCTAAATGTGGAGCAAGCTTCTTGTCCTCATGGTTCATAATGTATGGTAGATTAAAACAGGGACACAAGACTGTCCTATCACTGGTTCAGCTAATTCAGGTTTGTCAACTTTCACTGGCAGCAGTGGCTGTACCAATCAGCCGAGTTTCTGCCCTTAATAGAAAAGGACGTTTCTAGTCCGTATGGGTCTGAATAAAGGGCTGGGTTCAACAGGAACATTGCAAGCTGCCTAATGCCAGGGTGAACCTTCAGGGCCTTGGCCTGCAGCTCCCATCCTCCCTCCCCCCTAGTGCTGCTGGCCAGAGCAGGTGGCCAGAGCCCTGGGAGGGCCACAGATGGCTTGCTCAGCAGTGCCTGCGCTGACAGGCAGTGGCGCTTGGCGGGATCCCAGAAGGGCCTTTCCCAGCCCTGCTTGGTGACAGCAGGGTGAACCTGAGACCTGGGGCTCGGTCACTGGGCTGCGGCCCTCGGCCCAGGCAGCCGTCCTTCGGAGTCTCCAGCCGTCTCAAACCAGCACCTTGCTTTAGTCTAAGCGTGTGCTTGGGAGGGGGCACACTCTGCATTGAGGGTGCGCCTGGGGCCAGTGCTGCAGTGTCCGCCCCTGGCCACCCCACCACGGGTTCTCCTTTGCCTAGTGACGGCTCCGTGGGCTTCTTGGGCAGAGCTTTTCTCCGCTCAGTTTTGCCTCCAGGGCCTTCTGCAGGCAAGGCAGTGCCTGGAGTGACTCGCCCTCCCAGGAGATCTCTCCCAGGGGCTCAGCGTGCTCCGTCGCCAAGAGGGAATTTGCTGCTCCGGCTGGTGTTCTGCCTGCCTGGGCTGGGTACCAGGTCTTCAGAGTAGTGCCTCTGGATGCAGGTGAAGCAGGGCTGGCTGGATGGGGCTGCCATGGAGCACGGCTCCTGACCCATCTCCATTTGCCAGGAAAAGCTGTACCCTCAGGGACCCCCCACCCTGCCCCACCCCGTTTCAAATGTGGATCATAGCTTGGGAAGAGAGGCACTGGGTAAAGAAATGGAGGAAAATGGAGAAGAATGACGTGGCCCGTTCTGTTTTCCATTCCTCTTTTCCTGCTCTGAACATGGCCCGCTCTCCTTTTAAGCCTGAGGGGGCGGCAAAGTCTGTTCTTGCATGTCGTACCCAGCCGACAGCTGGGAACACCTCAGGACACCGCTCCGGATTATGAGTGCATCAAAGCGCGCCAGCTCTCAGCCGCGATAAGGCAAGGGGGCAGCGGGAAAGACACATCTCTTGCATGCGAGGGGCTTGGCATGCTCCTGGCACACAATGCCCGAGGTACATTTTGCCCTGGCCCGGTCAGGCGGGAAAATGGGCCTGTGTGTGGTTACTTGTTTCTCTGCTCTTTGGGAAAGGCCCTCCTGGCTTCAGAGCGCTCCTTCCCTGCTGCCCCAAGGGCTCGGTTTATACCCGTTCTTGAAGACAGGCAAGACGCGCACCCTTGATTGGCACTTGCAAGTGTGTTGTGCACTGCGGCACACTTGAATTGTCCTAGTCCTAGCAGGCATGGCAAGTGGTGGTGGGAGCACGTGTTTGCTCAAGGCCTCCCCAGAGCAGCTTCCCCACACCAGTCTCTCTCAATGCCATATCCTTCCCACTCACTGGGGGCTTTCGTTTGACAAATCCCGAAATGCGTCATTCACAGGGTTGCTGTGGAAACCATCTGTGCACCTGACATTTGAAAGCTGGCTGCTTTGGGGACAAGGACAGTGCAGAAAGCTGGGGAGCCATCACCTCACTGGGGCTGGGTCCACCCCCACAGAAGAGAATTGCTTCTGCCTCTGCAAAGGAAAGCCGTTGCATCCTGCACTATTTCCTCCTTTCAGTGGGTCCCAAGTGGGCACCTGTGCTTGGGATGCCCCCTGTCACTGCAGCCTCACTAGTCACACCTAGTAAAGGGTGCCTGTTGGACTTTATAGGCTATTAAAATAGTTTATTTTCACAAGGAACAATAAGAAAGGAAAGGGATATAGAAAGGAAGGTGCAAAGGGTCAATACACAAGCATAGCATATCAAGCAGTGTATCTCCAAGGTTTATTTGCTTGTTCAGAATGTATTTGTTTTAAGAAAATTAGTTTCTTCTGAACTTCCTCGGGAATCTCTAGTTTTTGGATTTTGAAACCTCCATGCATCTTTCAATTGTAAAATATCCATGTTGTTAAAAGCATTTACCCCACCCCCTTTCTCTTTATTGGAGTCTAAAATTCCATTCGTATTGCCACAAATGAGTATTTAACCTTCCTGAAAATCTAAAAGTGATTTTAAGAATTTCATAGCATTTCTCTTTTGCATCATTTGGGGCATATATTTTCACCAGTGCACATAGTTTTCCATTGGGAAATCTTATTTTAAGAATAACAAATCTTCCATCTGGGTCTCTCAAATTGTCTGTAACATTCAAGCTTTGATTATTAGCATAAATCCCAACCTTTCTTTCTGGTGCCTGCTGAGGCTTCATACACTCTACTCAATTTGTTACTGTTTAAGATGTTAGTATTTTCTTTATATATGTTTCTTGGATGCATATTATATCTGCCTTTTGCTTTTTTAGAGAATTAAAGTCTTTAGTTCATTTAGAAGAGGAATTGAACTTATTAATATTTATTTCTAAAATTTTCATCCTGGGTCTGTGTTCTATATTTATTATGCAATATAGCTTCACCTTTTTGTTGCTAATTTGATATTCCAGGACATTTTAGGTTCCATCCATCCAATCCAAAAGAGAAGATTCACCATCTTCTTCCTAAGTTTCTCCCCTCTTTATCCTGTCCTTAAAAATTCTCCAATATGATTCTCTGTATCATCTTTCACTTCATAATCTTACAACCATTTGAGTTAATTTTAAAAATACAAAAGAGAATACTTTTCCAGAATTCTTAAACTTTTTTTAGAGTGAATACTGGTACATCAAAGAAGAAAAATAAGAAAATAGGTAAAGGAAAGCAGAATTATAGATGGAGAAAAAACAAAAGGAGAAAAAAGGGAAGACGGGAGAAAGGAAGAGAGGCTACATAGGCTATTGAGTCACAGTGGAGGCTTGTGTAAGTCAGGAGCTTGTAGTCTTGGTTCGTGCCAGGCACAAGCTTTTCATGGAGAAAGTTCCAACGATTCTGGCAGTTGCTCAGGGGCATTCCAAACTTCCCAATGCAGAGAGCAAACTGGTATAAAATAATAAAAAACTTGCACAGCTAACCCAATGAACTATGAATGACTCTCTGTTTAGGGGCAATCCAGGCATGCTCAAAACTGAAGGGTTTCCCCAGAACACAAGAGGAGAGAGAGGCAGTCTGAGTGAACAAGCCTGAGCTGCCTTTAGGTCCTGACACATGTGGTACAGCAGCTGTGCTCACTGGGATCAGCCTTTAAAAGGAGAAGGGCATGATTCTGTTAACAGTGATAGTAAAGGAAGATTTAGGGTGTGTAAAGAGAAGCTGCGCACACTTAAATTCCACAGGCGGCACAGAAGTGTGCATCCCTTTGTGAGTGTGATGCTGGGGAGCTGCATCCAGGCTGTTTGAGCCACCCGTGGCCACCAGGGGTATCCTGCACTCAGAAGGGAAAAGCGCCCCCCCCGTTCTTTTTTTCCCCGAAGAACGAGGCAGGTGGGGGACCAAGGTCTGCACATGCTTTGCTCCAAGCGGGGGGCCCTTTGGAACGCCCAAGAGGGAATGCCTCCCAGCTGCCAGGCGCCCATTGGCATAAGCTGTCCACTGCATCCCTCAGCCCAGCCAAAGGCCAGCCCAGCCAAAGGCCCAGTGGGCAGATGACCTGAACAGAAGGTTATGGTGGCACCCAGCTCATGGGTGTTGAGGGTAGGCACTGGGCCCCATGGCTGTCCCGAGCCCCAGGACAGGAGGCCTGCCCCTCTTGTGACGAGATCTGCCAAGCATCAGCTCCGGCTAACTGGAGGCACTCCTTCAAACCCCGAAAGGAGGCCATGCCAGAAAAGTGCCTGCTTGAGGGGCCAAGGAAAGCAAACTCCTCAGAAGTAAGAGGGCTCTTCAGAAGAAGCACGGATCCTCAAGGGTAGGGGACTCTTTAGGAGCAGGAAGTCTGGATTGTGTAAACTGTTTGAAGGTGCATCTGGGGAAAATTTTGAGGACCATTTAACTGGTCCATCTGCAGCTGCGGTTGCACAGTTGCTATGCTCTGACAACCCTCTCTGCACTTCCCATTTCTGGCCCTTTGCTTTTCCTTGATCCCGAGACCATGGCTTTCCTCCTTTTTCAGTGGTACTGAAGAGGCCTGGTCTTAGTGCGTTAGCCCAATCAAGCACAAGAATGAGAGGGGAAAATATGGATTTTTAATTCATGAGAATAGTTTGATCACAAGCAAAAGGCCAATCGACTGGGAACATTGGTGCAGTCCCCTTTTATACCGTTGCTGACAGGGCTGGAGATTCATTGGTTTGCAATTCCCACTACAGATGCTGATTGGTTCATTTGAATTCGGGTGGTTCCTGCATTTACCTGGATGGCTGGGCTACCTGGGAGGCCTTGGTGGGAAATTGCTCAGTCCCAGTCTAAATGACTTGACTCCACTTTCACCTGTATTGGTATCGCTGGCATGAGGTAAGCATGCCTTGCTCTAGTGATCCAGCATTCTTGGGCCACTTTGGGCGACCCCTACAGTACCAAATGGGCATTCTCTAGCCAAGCATTCTTGACACTGACTGGCAGCAGTGGCTCTCCAGGGTCTTGCCAAGCCCGACCT